TGTGTTTTTTAGTGCCATTAGACCTGTCTAATGATTGTGATCTAATTATTATTGTCAGATCTTTAAGAGTTTGTTAGCATCATTACTGTTTTGGGGGAATTGGCCCTGACTGACAGCAGCAATGTTTGTTCACACAAAAAAAATATAGCTTTTCTGCAGCCTCTCTTACAAATGAAAAGCCTAAAGAGCCGATTTTGGGTCCAATCCTATTTACATTATATATACTGCCCTTGGGATCTGTTTTTTGTGATGCTCTGTTATTTTCATGATCTGCTGATGATGATATGCTGGTTTAATTGCGCAGCAGTAACTCATGATAACTGTTGCTGGGCTGTCCAAGGGCTCTTGAATTAATTATATTCATGATGTACATTTTTCTGAGGATATAACTGTCTTATATGAGATCATTATAACAAGTTTAGTGATGGATACCATCGCCTCACAGCAAGAGCGTTCCTGGTTCGAACCAGGAAGTCCAAAAACCTGCATTTTAGGTTGATTGGACATCCTAAATTGCCCTTAGGAGTGAATGTGAGTGGTTGTTCATCTTTATCTGTCTCTGTCTGGCCCTGCAATGGACTGGCGGACCGTCCAGAGAGTACCCCGCCTCCTGCCCATTGACTACTGGGAGGCTCCAGTCCCCCTGTGACCCCATTTTGGAATAAAATGGAGAGATGGATGGACGTTTAGTGATGGTGTGAGTTTTATCAATTTCCAACTCAGTTCACAAACATATTGGGCCTTACACCTTTTCCAAGTTGGCTTCTCCCTGTTCAAGATAAACAGAATTTAACCTGCTTCAGCTGCAAGTAAGAGACAGGAACATTAGATGTTGGTGAGAGACTGAAATGTCAGGTCAAAGGCAGTGATGGTAAAAGAAAGAACCAGTTAGTTAATGCCATTCATAATGGATAAGACATTAAACAGTAATGATGAGTGCTTCTATGACTCCTTGGCTTTAGACTGGCCCATAGTACAGCTGGCCCACTGACAGCAGCATTCTGACTGTGGGACTAATTCTCAAATACTCCTGGAGGTAGCTTGCTGTATCTCTGGAGCGGCTGAATAAATGGAGAGGTTTAAACAATTTTCACCCCTCATGGATTGTAAAGCACATCTGCAGAACACTCTCGTGCAGAAATGTCAACATTATGACCATTTTGCTTGTGCAAAGTAGCATTAAATTCACAATAAGGGAAAAATATGTTTGACTGCTTTTCTATGCCTTTCTGTTCGCACTGCTCAGTATTTCAAAAACAACATCCGCACTAAGAGGGCAGGTAACAGTTGGGGAGTGAAACAGACCCAATAATATTGGGTACACAGATCTAAGTGGCATATTGTCATCCTGCAGTAAAAATGTACAAACAGGTTAAGTCGGGAGACATCAATTCTACTAAATAAGCTTAATAAAAGACTGTGTGCTGCAAATGTTCAATTGAATGGACGCTAAATTTAGTGAGTTTCTTAAAAAAATTAGTGGAAGGAATGAAAAATGAAGAAATGGAAATGATAATGATGGTGTCTGACTATATAAATGACTTCTGCTGCACCTCTTTAGCTGGGACTTTGGCTGTGAACCACATACCATCTGTTGGTCAAGGACTTCCTGGGAAAAAAACAACTCAGTCCCATAAGGCCATGCAGTATGGAGTTGATGTAGCATATCAATGCCAGGTTGAATAACCTTTAACACAAAGACATACAAATTTAAAGTTGAGCTACAGCTTATTTTCTATTTATTTCCCAGGTCTGGGTCAGACCTTTTGAAAATACACCTTTCTTGTGACACACGGATGTTACACTGTAGATATTGCCTCTGCTGTTATTGCACGAAAAAGCTGCCAATTACAGCTGAACTGAATTGACAGGTTTGAGATGCATTTTTGAGGTGCTTTTTTTCATTCTTTTTCTGCATGAAACAGATATCACACCACTGACTCCATCTGCTCTGTGCATATCATCCACACGTCAGTCTAAAAATTGTATGAAAGATTACACAGAATAAAATCTGTAGAGCATTTCTTGGAGGGGAAATGCAGCCACTGAGGCCAACAGTGTGTCTTGGCTTCTTTTTTCCAGCACCAGATGCAACTGAGTCTCTGTGTCAGGGGTAGTGCAATTTTGAACTTCTCCTTGGCTTGCATCTTTAACCAGGCTACAAACTCCAGCTAACTGCAATGTGTCAGGACCTGGTGACACCCTTTTCTAGATGCCAGCTTGGCTTTCCTCACATTCCTGTACATGGTCGATACTGATCTGGGCCAGCCACTGTGCTGACATGACAGAAGTGAACAATGTGGGTTTTTTTCGTCTCTGGAATGTTTCTCTAAAGCTGATTAAATTGCCCTTGTGCACCAGCAACAACATCCTTGTTGGTGTTGACAGTGGTGATGAATGTAAAGAAAGTAAGAAATTGATGTGATTCATTGTCCAGATTGGAAAAACATGTTTCATGGATTTACAAAGGAACAACAACCGCAGACATTTACTTTCAAAGCATAGTTACAATGGATGGGATTATTTTGGTCAGGCATAATGCCCAGGGTTTATCTTTGACACACTGTAATTATTAGGGGTGTCATTTTGTAAAAACAAAAACAGATTAAATTTATTTTTCTTGTGCAATTTAGTTAGAAATATCCTGATTCACTCTAGTTATATAATGAATATTTGCTGCATTCATGGAAAACTGTCCCCATTTACAAATGAAGAATTTTCATCAATATCAAAGAAATATTTAAACTGCAAAAGACCACAACAAATCTTAGCTGTGCAATCAAAATCAGTTGTTAAAAATATTTATGCCTGATGGCTTTTGTCCTGCTTCGTGGTTTGGGCTAATTTTTTAAGATGGATATAAATACATTGAGAATAAGAGGAAAAGGACTTGTCAATAACACAAGCTTATTATTCACAGTTTCAAACCAGATGCTGCTTATGAGTTCTGTCTCTTTAATAGTTCCCTAGTCAGGTACTAAACTGTTTTGATGGCCATTATCAATTCCTTATTTCTAACTGCCATATACAGTTTTTTTTTCACTAAATTCACCTGTCATCTTCTTCTTCGTCGTGTTTTAATTAAGAAATTGCAATGGAAAAACAGCTAATGTTCATTTGATCAGTTTACTTTCTCGGGTGTGAACCTCTGTAATTATCTGCAAAACATCTCTGGTGACAAAAAATAATTGCAATTGGCAGTGCACATCATTGCAGCCTTGGGCTGGCATCCCTGCATCAATGCTCGAGAAAATATAATTAGCTTCTGAAGAAATGCCCAATGTTGTGATTGACTTGTGGTATACAGGAGGAAAGAAAAAGATCCACTATTGCACTGCATGTATACTTAATACTGGTTCAACACAACCAGCTGACAGGACAAAAATCAACATGAAAATCTAATAATTTCCCCTAGTAAATAGATTATTTCCCCCAAAAGAATTATCTTTGTTCAAATACATTCATATACACATGGAGTATTTTCACCGCTTTATTTGGAGTAAACAAACATATTCCATTTAGCGGTGCTTGATTAATCGACCATTTCACCATCTCGATTACAGGACCTGGCCTTATGCTGCTGCCTTGATTTCCTGTGTCCCATGTCTTTTTTAATCTTGTTTTACTAATATACTATTTTATGTTCTTTTTCCGCCCCATGTAGTTATAATAATTATATTCTCTTTTTGAAGTTTGCTGTTTGAATTACATACAGGTTACTTTCATGCAATGTACATGAAATAAAACAGTTAATTTTTGTACTCAAGAAAGTTTCCTCTATTGTCCGTCAAATGTAAAATAAAAAAGACCAAACATTTCTCTCAAACCAGTCTCAAACCATAAAGGGGCTTTCATATAAAGTCTATGATTATCAGGTTGAGCTTGTTTGAGGTGTTTTTAGTTGTCAGTTTCCAGTATAGGAGAGCTGTAGACAAACCGTTGGCTTCATGGAAGCTCGACTTCCAAACAGATGAAACTTAAAACCTATCCTACCAAATTACTCAAAACTTGAAGTAGGTGTTTTTGTTTATGCCATCAAAGTTGTTATCATCACAGAAGAATCTGAAAATAGAATCACGTCATACACTTCCTTGAAGCCTGTAAGCTATCCAGGCAGATTTATATCAAGATAGCTGCGGACGAAGCCTTGAGGAAGACTGTGGGTAGAGAGCAGCTGTAACACCTTACCTGTGCCACCTGCAGCCACCTTAGTATCATGAGGTCCTAATATCATTTGACAAGGTGAAGTTCTCCAAGATTTCTGACCAGCATACATTGCTTCAGGAGTATTGCACATCACATCAAGCTGTTGCTGCACAATACCACGTAAAGTCTGACACTTTTTGATTCTCCTGAGGCATGGCTGGCTGGACATTGTGAGATTAGTCATGCTTCTCACCAGTGGCTCATCATGTTCCAACAATTTATCTGCCTTGGCCTGCTGCCCATTCTTGTCCAGTTCCTCCGTCTACTTTCAGCATACACAGCAGTCCAACTGTTATTGTCATGCTCAATAAAGGTTATTGTGACTGTGCTGACACCTTGTCTTTTTTTAGTCTCAGGAAATTGCCACAGAAAATTGATGGAGTTTTTACATGACATGCTAAGTTAAACAAATAAAATGAAAAAACATATGAGCAATAATGTTGCTTAAAATTTTTGAGGTAGTAGACCATCACAGTAACTAACAACCTGAACGGGATTTAAAACAGGGGGCAGTCAGATGGCACAGTGGTTTGTTACGAACACTTGCCTTTTTGTTTTTATTACTATTTTCAAGATGTAATAAAACCTAAAAAATGCAATCCTTAACCTGCAATCGTTAACCTAATATAATTATGTATTTTTCTGGTCTTGTAACGTCATCCAAATTGCGTAAAGGTCGCATTTCAGCTCTTGTTTATTTCTTCCATATCTCTCTGTTCGAGTTCAACATCATTTTGTCGACAGTCGAAATGTAACTGTCGTCACGTGATCAAATATCCCAGAAGTCTCCACACCAGGAAGTGGTAAACTGGGAAGGATTGTCTTGACAATGATGGAGGAAGAGGAATTTGAATTTGCTGAAGATTTGGAGACTATTTTGCATCTTACTCCAGAGGTGCAGTTAGCTATTGAACAGGTATGAGCTCGAAGTCGAGTCTTTTCTGTTTATCGGCAACATGTTGTTGCTTTTTGCTAACGTTTAGCCAGCTGTTAGCTAACTAACCCATCCTCCGGTCTGTTTAGAATGTACATTTTTAGCTACAAAATCTGTTATTATTCACAGTACGTATAGTTTTCAGGTATTAAAAGAAGTTGTTTAATAGACAAAATTGTATTAGTTCTCATAGGAGTTAATGCCCAGCATTATTTAGCTAGTTATACATTTAGATTAAGAGAACGCAAAAGGCTGCACAAAGGTAATTCAGCAAATGTTGTTTGACGAATAAAACCATCGTAAAAGAAATTCCACATGTCACCGAAAGTGCTTCTGTGTATGTTTGTGTGTGTTTCTACAAGGTTTTCCCCAGCCAGGATCCACTGGACAGAGCAGACTTCAATGCTGTGGAGTACATCAACACACTTTTCCCCACGGAACAGGTATGTGAGTTTTATTCGTATTATTCATTTTATTCTTTATTCACGTTTGTTAAGAAATATTACATTGTAAAGGTAAAAAATTTGCAACTGAGGACATGTTGTAGCTCAACAAAAGGTAAATCCCAGGTTTTATTTTCGATATACGATTTATCGACCTGCTGCGTTCAAGTATCACATTACGACTCGGAATTTAACATTGACAATGGATGGTTTGCATTCATCCCCAGTGATTGGAGCCTTCTCTTCACATGGCCCCAACACTGTCACATCCAAATTTAAAGGACAATTCTCGAGCGGCAGAGAGTACTCTAATAGAATTTAGTTTGGAGCAGCTAAATCAACTTATTTTAGTGTGTACTTGTACTTTTTTAAATGACATTTTACCATTCCTACATACAAATCTCATATAATAGGCATTTATAAAAGAATTTGGATTTCACTTTGAAAGATGTTGCGTGAAAAAACTTTTCATCAAAATGTAATTTGTGTGTCTAGAACAATGCAGGCTTTCACCACAGAATAAAATTGCTTGAGCATATTTATTGTGGGATATTTGTCTTGGGTTTGATGATGGAAGGAAAAAAATTCTGATGGTGCCATTGCTGAGGTTAAGAAAAAATATGTTTAACCTTCCATTTCACTAATCCCGAACCATCGTGCTGTGATCTAAGCGAGACTTCCACCAACCAGTCCTTTGTAGGGCAGCATTGCCCTATCACAACTTAACAGGGAAAAGTAACACAGTTTATCTTGACACTACTATGCATAGAGAAAAGCTACCATCACCTTTTGATTTTTTCCAGTTATTAGAATATCAATCAATAATTGAAATAAGAAACTGTGTGCAGTGTATTCTGTGTGTGTATTTGAATTGTAAAATGTACAAAGTACATTTAACAGTTTATCTATCTGCACAAACATTGCCTGCCTTGAAAGATGACTGATAGCTGTGAGAACTGGTGTTTCAGCCAGTCCTTACTGTGACAGACGTCAGTTCCTTTTGCTGTAGGAAGATAACAACCTTATTTTTTGTTTACAGTCAGCCAAACAGTTAAGCTCCGTGATGCCCCAATAGGTGACATTAATACAAGATAAAAGCATCAATTCTTTGAGAAGTTATACCACAACTATTGTATTGTATAACGAAACATGAGAGTGGGAATGCAACATGTGTTTTTTATATGGCATGGAGTTGTTACTGTAGGTGGTATTTTGACATTTCTCTACAAAAATACTTGATTTAAAAAAGGTGAATTTGAGCTGAAGCTAGAGGCTTGGCAGAATGGTTTGATATGGCTTTATTACTATTCATTATAGATTTATATCTTTATTGATTAATCTGTCCTAAAAAAAAAGGTTGTGTGATTCTTGTGAATGTTTAGTTTTCAAGACTAATACCATTTGAATTTTCCAGTTGGAATCATTAATGTTGTATTCATTTCCCAATGTTAAAGAGTATGTTTGACATGCATGTGTATGTATATTCCATCTCCATAAGGGGTCACTGTAAGCTTGTATTTAGTTTTTGTACTGTTCATGGTTTTGCATGGATTATCCCGCTTCTGAACTTTGTACATAAATCCTCTTCCTGCAAACCTTCAATATATGTGTAAAATCTGATGCAAAGCCATGTGCTTGTTGGCATGAGGATGTTTTATTAACAGCAAAATTGTATATGTTTGAATTCAGAGAATTAATTTTCATGTTTTGTGAACAGAGCCGTACATTTACCGTCTGGAAACGGCATCAAAATGATAGAACACAAAGGTTTATGTAAATAAGATAAAGTTTCTATCTTTAGGCTAAGCATTGGGTTAGGGATAAACTATTGTTTTGTGTTTCACTGACATCCTGTTGTTTTTTCTTTTTGCCAGTCTTTGGCTAATATTGATGATGTGGTGAGCAAAATTCGTCTAAAGATTCGGTGAGTTCACATGGATCAACTCAAGATCTTTTTTGTTTGTTTGTATCACAGGCTCATTCTTGATGAATATCTACTTTTTATTACTTTTGACAGGCGTCTGGATGACAACATCAGGACGGTGGTGAGAGGCCAGACTAATGTGGGTCAGGATGGCAGACAGGTGAGCGCTTTACGAAAACATGTACGGCAAAGATATTTCTCCATACTCTTCTTCATATTTGCTGCTCACTCATGCTTTTGGAAAATCTCTGCTGAAGCTTCTGTGCAACAGCTGAAAATACAATTTGTTTGTCAAGAGTACACAGGAGGCAGGAAATGATGCAAGACGTGCACTGGAAATCGGTTTGACTTGTTAACAGAATGTTGCGAATACCGGATGAGGCTTTTTGGTTACTTTCTCTGCTTTCATGTTTTTGACATTTTTTGACATTTTCACTTGAAATTTTACTTTTGCCAGACAGAAATGATTACACTTTTTAGAATTTGTTTTGTTGTTTCTCAGATACCATAACTAAATGCAGGAATTTTGTTTGGTTCCATAATACCAAATGCTGAACATGTTGTCTCCATGTGAAAATTGACATCTCAGGTCGTGTGAATGGGGAAAATTAGATGTGTTTTTGTATGGCAGTGATTTTCACAAATGTGCCTTTTATTTTCCACTTGATAAAATGTTTTAAATCAATGACATGTTGTTACACATCTAGACATTGGTTGCACTGTTGATATGTGTTAAAGTTAAATACAGCCTTTGGTTGGAACACAGAAAACAGACTTCTCTTGATCTCCTGCTCTCCTCATACTGCTGCCATGGAAAAGGACAATATGACTCAGATCTATTCCCACCGCTCAAACTGCGTCTATACGGAAAACATGTCAGTGAAATAGATTCTCGCATGTAAATACTTTTTTTGGGGAAGGGGTGATGGAAAAGAACAGCCCCAGCTCATTGGATCCAGGTCCTTGCTCTTTTTAAGGTCCTGTGCCTTGAAGGGAACATAACACCTGCTGGGTGAGCCACTCGTGTCCTGAGCAGTTGATTAGTGATGCATTGCCGGCACTTTGCCCGGCTTAGTGGCCCCGTCTCTCCCAGTCAGCTACCGTTTAGTAGCGGGAACACTCTAAACGCCCCTCCAGACCAATAACATTAAGAAGTCACACACAATAATTTCAGTTTGTTTTTCCAACCCCACAGAGCTATTCCAATCTTTCCAGAGGGAAATTTTCCCCTTTTTTCTTTGCAGATGGAAAGACGGAAAGGTGGTCATTTCAGGAGAGCAGTTTCCAGAGACAGCACAAAAATAAAAACCAACATTATCAGCGATTTAGGCATTGCTGCTGTTTGCTGAGTTCACTCACTTACACTATATTGCCAAAAGTATTTGCTCACCTGCCTTGACTCACATATGAGCTTAAGTGACATCCCGTTCCTAATCCATAGGGTTCAATATGACGTCGGTCCACCCTTTGCAGCTAGAACAGCTTCAACTCTTCTGGGAAGGCTGTCCACAAGGTTTAGGAGTGTGTTTATGGGAATTTTTGACCATTCTTCCAGAAGCGCATTTGTGAGGTCGCACACTGATGTTGGACGAGAAGGCCTGGCTCTCAGTCTCCGCTCTAATTCATCCCAAAGGTGTTCTATCGGGTTGAGGTCAGGACTCTGTGCAGGCCAGTCAAGTTCATCCACACCAGACTCTGTCATCCATGTCTTTATGGACCTTGCTTTGTGCACTGGTGCACAGTCATGTTGGAAGAGGAAGGGGCCAGCTCCAAACTGTTCCCACAAAGTTGGGAGCATGGAATTGTCCAAAATGTCTTGGTATGCTGAAGCATTCAGAGTTCCTTTCACTGGAACTAAGGGGCCAAGCCCAGCTCCTGAAAAACAACCCCACACCATAATCCCCCCTCCACCAAACTTTACACTTGGCACAATGCAGTCAGACAAGTACCGTTCTCCTGGCAACCGCCAAACCCAGACCCGTCCATCAGATTGCCAGATGGAGAAGCGCGATTCGTCACTCCAGAGAACGCGTCTCCACTGCTCTAGAGTCCAGTGGCGGCGTGCTTTACACCACCGCATCCGACGCTTTGCATTGCACTTGGTGATGTATGGCTTGGATGCAGCTGCTCGACCATGGAAACCCATTCCATGAAGCTCTCTGCGCACTGTTCTTGAGCTAATCTGAAGGCCACATGAAGTTTGGAGGTCTGTAGTGATTGACTCTGCAGAAAGTTGGCGACCTCTTCGCACTATGCGCGTCAGCATCCGCTGACCCCGCTCCGTCAGTTTACGTGGCCTACCACTTCGTGGCTGAGTTGCTGTCGTTCCCAAACACTTCCATTTTCTTATAATACAGCTGACAGTTGACTGTGGAATATTTAGGAGCGAGGAAATTTCACGACTGGATTTGTTGCACAGGTGGCATCCTATCACAGTTCCACGCTGGAATTCACTGAGCTCCTGAGAGCGACCCATTCTTTCACAAATGTTTGTAAAAACAATCTGCATGCCTAGGTGCTTGAATTTATACACCTGTGGCCATGGAAGTGATTGGAACACCTGATTCCGATAATTTGGATGGGTGAGCAAATACTTTTGGCAATATAGTGTATCTGAATGCGCTCATCCAGATTGAAACCCAACACGCTAAAATAATTCGCAGAGAAAGAAGGAATGGGGGAGTTTGGAAAGAAAGCAGAGGTCTACTAAACTAATTTGATTGAGTATTTTCTCTGTGGGGAAGCAGACAGCAATCTGCTTGCCAACTGAAAGCATGGAAATGTCTTAATGATCAGACTGTGGTGGCTAATAAAGCTTATATTTAGAGTGTCTGAGGCTGTATTAGTTTTAACATGTTGCTAAGGCATATTACAATCATGATTTTGTCCCTTGTTAAGTTTTTATAGTTGATGTAATTACTTAAATAGTGATTTAGAAACGGGGTATCGATCCAGAGAACATGTAGCCAGTGTTTTTACCATTTATTGAAGAGCTCTTCTTATGGTCATTTACAGATCATTCATATTCATGTTAAAGTGCTCCTAGGAAACGTTTTGATGCTTTAATGCTAAAAGAAGACACTTTAAAATATATCCTGTCCCCTCAGACCTGTGTTTCTGATTCTGTTTCCCAAACCCATTTTCAAATGGCTTTCAACTTGTCATATGATGGACACAGCTTTTTTCAAAATGTCCCATGTACTAGAGATGTAGGCAGATGTTTCACACAGCACACATTAGATCCAAGAGTGGAGTGCACGGTACAATCTGGAATATATTCTTTCAGTCTTGTCAACACTGACAGTCCTGACTTCCAAATCTTCACTTTTAAGACTTGTGTATTAATATTGTTTTTTTTTCTATTTGCAATGTTTTTTTTCCTCCAAAAGGGCTGTTGTTGTTTTTTTCCCGTCATATTTTGACAAGTTGGTCAACGGCTTAAACATGCATTCCAAAACAAAATGACTTAATGTCAAAGTTCTGCTTAAGAATTCAAGCGTAATATATCCCAAAGGTTCATTGGAAGCATCTTCAAAACATAAAAAGAGCTTCCCCCTCCTTCTTTTTCAAACCTGATGATAGAGCCTATGTGAGCTATGGGACATGTGCTGCTTATTCCATAGTAGAGTTCCACTGGTCTGTGTGAGTGTAGATAACATCTTTGGCATGGAGGCGCCAGCTGGGCAGTGGTCTTCAGAGCTTTCCTAAGGGCTAAGTACAGGAAATGAGCTCTAGGAAGCAAGCCAGATTGAATCAGCTGAGCCCGCTTTAGCGACAATTGCAGCTTTGATAGTTTCGGACCTTCCTCCTGCGTGCACTTCGTTTACTCAAGAACCCCTACAGGGAACCTCTGAAAGGGTTCAGGGCACTCCCTTCCTTCTTGTGCTCAGATTAAAGTGCTGTCGCTTAACCTGCCACCCCTTTTTCATTTTTATTCCTCCTGCCACCTAGCCACAGTGTGGTGTGATGACTGAAGAAAAATATAGTTAGAAGGAATTGCAGACAGTTTATGCTGTTTTTGCCTGGAGGCTAATCGGTACCAGGCTCTCTATGTGGTCTCAGTGGTTGGCTGTGTTGCTGACAAGTCGCATAACGTAGAGAATACATTTGTAGCTTACGCTACTAACATCTCAGCAAAACCTTGCTGTGTAGGATTAAAGACCAAAAAATGATTTTGTTTGGATTTTTCTGACCTTTTCACATGGCACCAGCGTCACCTTGACTGTGTGTTTCCATGACTGGGACACCAGTGACACCACTGGAGGGAAAATGATAGAGCTTCTGTCAGCACGAGCTGTATTTATGTTTGTGTGTGCGCACATGGGCAGGTTTGTGTGCTTGGTCACCTACTGTCCAATAGTTTGTTATCCGGGCCTGTGAAAGTGGTAAATTCCTCAGACAGCTGGTGCCGTCTGTTAGCATTCCTTATGTGCATTTGTGTCTACGGAGGGTTAAAGTTGTGTCTGCAGTGCCGGCGCAGCAACAGGCCAAATGAAGCCAATTAGCCTGGCATTACATGTCAGAGTACAGTCTCTGTTCAGGGCTATCAAAGAGCAGCTGCCATGTCAGATGACGGGAAAATATTAGAATAGCACCTCAGCCACCTGACAAATGTCAATAATGTAGTATACACTGTTTAAAGTGCTAATGATCTCTTTAGCCTCAAGAGTGACGATTTCCATACTGAGCTTAGCCTCCCGGTCTGTGTTTCACTTATGACCTGTCAATCTTTGATACTCAGACAGACTCACCAATGATGATTTTATGAACAATACGGAATCTGTGGAAGCAGGTTCTTCACAATAGCCCCCGAAGACAAACTCCCGCAAGTGGAAATTCTCCTGAGTGGCACCTACACGCAGCAGGCAGGACAATATGCTGTTTAAGTTGTATGGCACATTGAGAATCGCTGATGTGGGTCTCTCTGCCTGTCTGTTACACTTACTGAATTTGATCTTGATTCAAGTAAAGCTTCATTTTTGACATATCTGCAAATTGTAAAGAGATCAACTGAAAATTATTTAATAAAGAATGAAAGAACTGTGTCTGGTTTTATCTCCTGGGCACCTGCCAGCAAGCGGGGAAATTCTGTGATATCTTCTTCCTCCAAAGAGTGTGATGGAGTATTTTCAGGGCTTCTCGTGCTGTCGTTGAAATATGCTGTGTCTGTTTTTCATATTGCTTTGTTTGTTTTATGCAGGCTTTGGAAGAGGCTCAGATCGCCATCCAGCAGCTTTTTGGCAAAATCAAAGACATTAAGGACAAGGCGGAGAAGTCTGAGCAAATGGTACATGCACACAAAAAGACACAGGAATACAAACACACACAAATACACATACACCAAAAATCAGTTTGCTTAGGCACAACACGAACATGACCCAAGCACTGAGGAGGTGCAGCCGTTGTTGTTTTGTTACAATAGAAACAGATTCATTTATATGAATCAAAACAACGCACATTCCATGTGTGCTTACGTTACAAGCAAGAATTTCCGTTTGTTTGTCAACAAAATTCACTGGAAGGTCAGCCTACAGGGGGATTACGGAAAAGATTGGAGTTGATCGGAGTGAGAATGACAAGCACACCTTGTCTCAGGAGGCTTGTGGCAAAAATAGTTGCAATTTAAAGCAGTAGCCATGCTGTTAATTTTCTTCAGCTACTCTTGGTCCTGCAGGCACATCCAGTCAACCGCCCTCTTACATTCTTTCAGCTGTTTGTACTTTGTCCTCTCCTCTCCCATCTCTGCACTGTACTCTCCTCCTACCACGCAATTTCCTTCTTTTCTCTATCTGAATTATTTACTCAAACTGACTTCTTCCTGCCCAGGTCAAGGAGATAACAAGGGACATCAAGCAGTTGGACCATGCCAAGCGCCACCTTACTACCTCCATCACCACACTAAACCACCTCCATATGCTTGCAGGGGGTGTGGACTCTTTAGAGTGGGTACAATTTCTTATACTGTTTTTTTTTTTATGTAAGGCTGGATGTTTAAAGTCTAAGACAGAAAACTAAACTGAAATACAGTAAAGCCACCTTTTTTGTTAATTTTCTGAAATTCCAGATGACCCTGAAGGGAAGCTTTATGATGTATAAAATCATTAATGTCGGTATTTCTGTTCTAGAGCCATGACCAGAAAGAGGCAGTATGGTGAAGTGGCCAACTTGCTGCAGGGAGTGGTCAATGTGCTGGAACATTTCCACAAATATATGGGCATACCCCAGATCCGACAGCTTTCAGAGAGGTAGTGTTATGCAGACCCACACCCACACACACAGACTTGCACACACTCGACTGTTTTGTGATCAGCATAACTCTGGAGCTCATTTCCAGCCGCCAGAGGGTTAGCTCTCCTCCCTGCTGAAATGTTCCACAGCTCGTCTTCCCAACTGTTGAAAAGTGGTTCCAGTATTTGGTGGGGTACTTAACGTATTGCATCCTGTTTATGCAGATAGACACACATAAAAGCACTGTCCCACACATGCAGGAAAACACAGGAAGGAAGCCCAGAGAATAGGCAATCGTTATGGCCGTTTTTCTTCCATTGTAAGACAGAAGGCAGGACACACTTTTCAGGGGGCGTATTTGTATCTTCATGTTTAAGTTTCCCTGTGTAAGTGTGACATGCATTTACAGCAGTAATCTTTTGTTTTCCATTTAGCTATCTATTTGGTTATGTTTGTTCTCTCTTGAGTTACTGATGCTATTATCTGTAGCAGAAAGTCACACACAAGCCTTTGTTTAGCTTTTTCTAGCCACCCTGACCATTTTCCAAGAACAGAATCAGTTTGGGACACTGACCAGAAATTCAAAGCAGTGCTGATCCCTAAAAACTAAAAAGGATGACCTTCTGTTCTGTTTTGACTGAGGTGTGGTAGATGGTCTTCATACCAAACAGCTGAGTGGAAAAAGTGGCTGTGCTTGAGAAAAGGATGAGCAGAGACCCAAAGAAGGGGAAGACATGAAGGCAGGGCTGACAGCTGGATGTAAACAGTTAATAAAGACTAGCAAGGCCTCAAGCTAAGAAACAAGGCATGACTTTGAGTGGAGAACTTTGCTCCGCCGTCAGACGCTTAAATAGCAGAGTTGTACAAAATGTTCAATTTAACACAAGCCCTATATAAAATTGAATCAGAAACATATGTGTATTTTTCATGGCATTAGCCATTGTTCATGAACATTTGAAGCCCAAAGTTCAGAATTTAGGCTTTTTCTGCTGCTGTTAGTCTTTTGGATTAACCTGCACTGAAAGTGACCCTGCTTATAGTAATATTTAACTTTAAGTTGTATAACAATTTAGAGAAGTGTATGCAGTACACACAAACATTAGACACATATTCTTTATAAAGACTGATGAGAGCAAAACCTTTTTGTTTCAGACTTAAAAAAGAAATGTACTAATTCAATAGAAATATTAAAGTCATCCCGCACAATTGATATTTATTTTTTATGCCATATTTATGGCTACTTTTCTACTCTGCGCTGTTGAAATTCTGAGACTGATTGCATCAACATCAACATCTCTCTGCCAGCTGTAAATTCTCCCTGTGTGGCTGATGGTCTGTCACTAACCACAGCATGTACTCAGTATCTAAAGTCATGCATTAATACTTGTCGACACTCTTGTGTTGTCCGGCATGGTTGTCATTGATTTGTAAACACTGGCTCATTAACTGGATGTGGTCAGTCAAGGAATGTCCTTCCCTTCAATTCATATAACAATGCATCAATATTCTGCTGAAGGGCTGAGCCACACACACACAAGTCAAAAGATTATGAGGTCCACACGCAAGTGCAGCCACTTCTGTAGAAAATCCTCATTGTCATCGGCTTCTGTTTCCTTTAGAGTAAGAGCAGCACAGAGTGAGCTTGGTACTCAGATCCTGGCGGACTTTGAAGAGGCATTCCCCTCTCAAGGTTCCAAGGTGAATATGCTCCAAAACAATCTTCATTATTAAAAGAAAAATAGGTAAACAGTAACATTTAGATTCCCCTTCCGCTATGCAGAGACCTGGTGGACCGAGCAACGTGCTGAGAGATGCCTGTCTGGTGGCTAATGTGCTAGATCCTCGCATCAAACAAGAGATCATCAAAAAGTTCATGAGGCAGCACCTTTCCGAGTACCTGGTTCTCTTCCAGGAAAATCAAGACGTGAGTACGAACTGTTAGAAATAAAGGCAATTTATCATTCTTTTTTCTGTCAGGTTTATTTTTTTTGTAAAGATCAAAGTCTGAAATAGAAAGCTAATTTTAAAGGTTGTTACTAATAAAAATTGTAAAAATTGTTCCCTTTCTTTCCAGGTGGCCTGGCTGGACAAGATTGATCGTCGCTATGCCTGGATCAAACGGCAGCTGTTGGACTACGAGGAAAAATACGGGCGCATGTTTCCCGAGGAGTGGTGCATGACAGAGCGTATTGCTGTGGAGTTCTGCCACATTACCAAGTAAAGCACATACGGCAGATAATATAAAAGCCCCTCAGCAGACGTTTGTTGACACGTTGTGATTATGAATTATACGGTTTATGATTGGTCTGATTAATAGTCATTATTTAACACTGAGTCTTTGTCCAACTAAGGAGGAAAGAGAGGGGAAACTGAATTTAATTAAGTGGACAGAAAATATGAAATAGGTTTTTCGGGCTTCTCAGCTTCATGGAGCAAACTGCTCTTCTGCAGCCTAAGAGGTGGATTCTGGGAAATGGTACAACTGGCAAGGCAGTTGAAGTAGGTGGCCTATAAAAGCAGTGACCCAGAGTCAGTACTTCTCCATCTTTTACAAAAGTAAACCCAGTGGCACAGTGTTCTGCCCCCCCTCTTATATCTAAAGCTCTTTTTTTTTCTCAGTTGCACTTCTGAGTCGTTCATCATTCAGTAGACCTCCTCCTTATACCGTTATTGTGTGCTCACAATGAATCGCACAAAACTGGTGTGATGCCACTCAATTGTGTTGTCTCGGGCATCTTGCTGACCTTCTGAAATGAGAGGCATGATGTACAACATCTTCAGTGTTATGCACAGCGAATGACCACATTTCTGTCAACATTTGTGGTCTCACAAAGATCTTTTGTGTCCTTAGGGTGGAGCTAGCCAAGGTGATGCGAACGCGGGCAAAGGAGATAGAAGTGAAACTGCTGCTTTTTGCCATTCAGCGGACGACAAACTTCGAGGGTTTGCTGGCCAAACGATTCACAGGATGCACCTTGATGGATGCAACTGGAGTGAGAAGCTGCACACACAGTCACAACTGTTTAAAAATACACATCTGGAGAATCCACGAAATTCCCCAAGTTTAGACTCGACATTTGAAGATAGAAATTGTTGCCCTTATTTCCAGCTTTCCTGCTCTAGGTATTATTACATGTTTAGTTTTTGGTATATGTTGGTGATGAATGTTTTTGAAGTGTGATGAAGAAACACATTAAAGTGTTCCATCTGAATTCTCTCCATCAGCTGGAGCAGGTTGACGACTTTGTCAAGAAGAATGCTGCTCATTCTGATATTCTGAAAACATTTATCTTTTACCAGCGCAGCATAACATCAGTGGTGTTTTTGCAGTCTCGTATACAATTTAGAGACAATTTTATGGGGTAACCATTATAGGCAGCAGTAACTCTCTCAACAACCTCATAGAGAAATCCGTTCTTAATTTCTGTGTCGTTATCGTGTTCTCCACCGAAGAAATCGTTTAATCCCGGCCATGATAGAGCTCAAAGGTGTACTTCATAATATTTAGCCTTGACAGAAGCTTTTTTTATCCGCAATTCACTTTATACTCACGCCTGCTGGATTCTATAATCCGCTCGTGAAATTGATTGTGTAGAATTCTATCATATCTAAATGGCTGACATGATTCTAGAGGAAGATGAGGTGATCCCGACTTTTAAACATTTGTTGGAGCACGTACACTGAAAAGTCAGGTTTTTGGGTTAAATGAAAATCACTGTAAAGTTTTAATAGAATAGTGCTATATCTTTGTTTTACAGCAAAAGAAGCCAGAGAGCCCGCTCGACTCGACAAACCCCTTCCTGGAGGATGAGCCAGGAGAGGATGAGGTCACAGAAAAGGATGATGATCTCACCAAGGTGACCTGACCTCATCTGACATTTTATAACACATTCAGGGTCTGTCAGATGTTTCTTTATTTTATGTTAGGCTCTCTTCAGGCTGAATAAATCTTCATTAGACGGTTATCTCATTAGCGACTGATTTTCCTTTTCTCTCCTAGCCCAGGAAGCCGAAAGCTCCAGACAACCCTTTCCACGGCATTGTCTCGAAGTGCTTTGAACCTCATCTTTATGTCTACATAGAATCCCAAGACAAGTAAGCAACACACGCATGCAGAAGCAGAGAGGATCAGTTTGACTCATGGTAAACAAGCCCAGATTTAGGAGCAGGTTGTATGTTAAGAGGGCAGATGAATGCCTTTTTCACTGCATACTCGTCAATCAGTTCCCCCTCCTTCTATTCTGCTTCACCACCTCCTGTCTTTCCAGCCCTTGTTCCTGTACATGCTTCTGTCTCCACTGTGGCAGAAATGTTTCCTATTAGCTGCACAACCACAGACATTGAAAGAGAGGGAGGTTGAATAAGTGCTGCCACAGCAGATCTACCCTTTTTCTTTCCCACCTCGTTCCGTTTTTATTTTATTTTTTTGTAGGCTTTTTTCCATTCTGTTGTTGTATAATTTAGGTTTAATTCTTTCTTTTTTCAAATTTGTTTTAAGCCCTCTTTACATTCATCTTTTATTTTTAAACTACCCCCAATTTTCTTTTGATTTTACCACAGTTTTCACTTGCGTGCCAGTCCCTGCCCTACCTCAGTAACTGTGATGTTTTCTGAAAGAGTTGAAAGTGAACTTTGTTCTGAGACTATTATGGTTGCCTGCTTCCCACTGGAGTATTAAATGCTCTTTCAGGGACAAGGCTGACCAATACTGCAGCTTCAACCTCATTTTTGTCCAAAGCAAAGGCCCTAAAACAGGCAGAGGCCAAATCAGCTTGTCTCGGTGGGATGTAGCTGAAGAGAACAGTGGGCCGCTTGTTTTGTCTTTGGCTTTAGTTCCTTGATTCAGGAGAAGTAGTTCCGAACAACTGGTTGCAGAGCTGTGGTCTGTAGCATTCTGGATTAGGTGTTTTGAATATCTTTTACATTTTTTATAACTGCCTGCTCCCTGTCTGCTTGTTATTTTCACCTTTTTTTGTATTAGATTTCTTCATTAATTGTATTCTTTTTAATTTGTTGCATAATACATTCTATTAACTTTATGTGCCCCTATTTTAATTGTTTTAAGCTGTATTGCTTTGGCTGCATTTTCTTATAGAGTAGAACAGAATTACTTTTATTGACATTATACAGTGTATAATTAGATTGGTGAGCTTCCCCTTTCAAGTTCAGGGAGAACATAGACACAAATGGTGCAAAGGTTACTATTTATGTTTATAAAAATCCAAAGTATGTACAAAGTATATCTATCTATATCTGCAGGAACCTCGGAGAACTGATTGACCGCTTTGTGGCTGATTTCCGAGCACAAGGTCCACCCAAGGCAGGCACGGAGGAGGGTGGAGCAGTGCTGCCCAGCTGTGCTGACCTCTTTGTCTATTACAAGAAGTGCATGGTGCAGTGCTCCCAACTGAGCACTGGAGAACCTATGATAGCCCTCACAACCATCTTCCAGAAATTCCTCAGAGAATATGCTTGGAAGATCCTTTCTGGCAACCTGCCTAAGTAAGACTTGTTCATGTCTGGTCTCTTAAACATGTGAGAGGTATACATATTAAGCTTTACCACCAAAATGAAGCTGGAGTTGAGGTTCATTGGTGTAATCATTTATGGAATGCAGTGTAAGAAATATCAACTGTATTATTACATTATTATATTCAATATAAAAACACAAGTTTGTGTACAGTTATTAGTAGGAACTGAATTGATACAACATATGTTATAATACTGGAACTATACAATTACAAATTTAAGCAGTCATCATGATTTCGAGAACAATATGTATTGATAATAAGTATTGGCTACTGTTTGAACAAATTTAGGCACATAATCTTTATGTATCGGTGTATTGTTACAAACGTGGATTTGTTACAGAGGCTGTTTGGGGACTAAAGTTTGAAGCTAACATCTTCTGTCCTCACTGTTTTGATGGATTATGATGGCAGGCAATGAGCGATCTGGAGTCGGTTAGGTTGTGGTAAAGTCTAATATGCTACCAGCAAAAACATCTCTGGATCATTGGCCACATCAGAGCTCATCACTGACTGTGGTGCACACACACACTCTTGCACACAGCCATGCTTAAATATTCTCGCATGCTAATTACACAGTTGCGTTTGACGACTAATGCATACCATACTCTGAGCTTTACACAAGCACTGTCACAGATTCATTTCAACTACACACTCTTTGAGATACTTGCAGACACCCGTGTGCTGTGGATTGGCTTTGCAAGATTTTTTTGAAAGGGGCCCTCAAAAGGAGTTTTAACTATGTTGTGGTTTTACCCGGGTCTCTGTTATGACGTTTATTAATGAACGGGTTGCTGGCCCCCACTGTTGCATCTGTTTGTACTTATGTTCATTGTGTCTCTGTTGCTAAAAATGGATTTCTTTACCTGTGGTTTTTTAAAAAATGTCTGCCACTGAAAGATTTTCTTCGAGCAATGTAGATAGAACAGGGTCCACACTAAGCAAGAAAAGTGGAAACCGTCTTTAGCTTAATCTCAACCACTTTTCCTCCTAATTCGCCATATAACAAAAAGGAGTAGAGAGCTGTGTACTGAGATGTAAACATTGGGAATGTCCACCGCTTCCATTTGAAATGCACAAGGCTTTCTGTCAAAAATAGGATCTATATTCTGCTAAAGCTTTGATTTCTTTTTCCCAAATAAGTTCATAGCATCAAATTGCTCTTTTCCTTCAACTAAAATCTGATATTTGATATGATATTGTTGCTTTCCTATCTTAGAAAAGTGGAAAGCAAAATCCAGTTTTGCTGAAAATATAATGATCAGTATACAGTGTACTATTAACTGCAGCCAACATAAAAAAAACAGAAAATCCCTGATCAACTGGCTTCATTACGAGCTGTCATTACTAAACAACTCATGTTACCAGCTAGGATTTAAAAGAAAAAGGGCTTAACATCCCTCTTAACTGTCATGGATGCCAGTTTCACACTGTCAAAAAGCTCACACTGTCACTGAAATAGCTGACAGGTTTCACATCCTCAAAAGCTTTGGTTGCAGATCTTGCCGTGATCACTGCTGTGATTTCAATGTAAGTGACTGAAGCAGTTGTGAGCTTTTATATTTGTGCCACAGCGTGTGTACGTCTGTCTGCTCTTAGACCCCCAGTGTGGTAGCTGACAGTTCATATATCTGAAAATCGATGTATTGAAAAGGGATTTTGACTTCATGAGTACTTCCAGAGGGATTTTGATAAGGAAACACTCTGCGCTCAGTTTATTTTTTGCACGATGAAGCCATTTTTACTCACGCAGAGCAGCCCTGATATGCTGTTGAGCTGATTCTCAGGCGTGATATGTGAGAAGGCAAACGTCCGCAGCACTCAGCCTGTTGAGACTTTCCATCCTGGCCCCTCCCCAGTGAAATTTCTGGAAGGTCAGTGAGGAGACAATGCAACATATTAGCTAAACATTCAGAGGATTTACAGCAGGTGTGTGTGCTGGTTAAAGCAGTTGCTTCTTTCTCTTCTCTGCTGACCTGTTAGTAACTGTTCACTCACCTCTATGTCACAGTAAAATACGAGCAGGATTTATATCAGCACAAAAACAGTCAATAATAACCCTCATTGTTATTCTGCTATTGTAAAGAAAACAGATTGTTTTTGTTTCTTTTCCTCCACACTGTGCTGCTTTGCATGTGCTGCAAATGCCACCTCCTCAACCTCTCGTTTGTATTTCAAACTGTCGGGGGACGTATCTGGCTGATAAAACATTTCTTCCCCATTATTCACAGCAACTGTGAATATAGTGCAGCTCAAACTGTCTGCACATTCCCCTGAAAATGTATCACATTGACGTGTGAAAACAGTTGAACAGAATTATCTAAGCAGAGCTTCTTTTCTGACCACCCACAATCCGGCCACATCTGATACTGATGTCACTCCGTTACTAGTCCATTACTATTTATACATATTAACACTGGATAGCTTGTGGAATCGAAGGGTGGGACAACAAAGGTCTTACAAACATATCTTTAAGGAATATTGCTTTAAAATTAAGCCTCATCTCTCCTTTTACACATTCAGCATCCACTGTATCTTCTGTTTTTGCAATTCATTGTCTACAACCTCTTTTGTCCATCTCTCACTCTCTCTCTCTCTCTCTGCAGATCCAGCAGTAACAGTGGGGGTCTCACTATCAGTAGCCTGCTAAAGGAAAAAGAAGGCTGTGAGGCTGCAAAGTTCACTGTAGATGAGCTCTGTCTGATCTGTAGCATTCTCAGTACTGCAGAGTACTGTCTGGCTACCACGCAACAGGCACGTCCCCTATCCTGCTTAGATATCAAATCTTTACAAAGACCCATATTTCAAAAGTTGTTCATTTATATTTTTATTAATGTGTGTAATTGTCCAATGGGTTTCAGTTGGAGGAGAAGCTTAAGGAGAAGGTGGATAAAGTGTTGGTGGAGAGAATAAATTTGACCGGGGAGATGGACACATTCAGCACGTTAGTGGCTTTGTTTTTTTTTCTTGTATATATGAACCCAACCGCTTTTCATCTGATGCGAATATTTTCATGCTGTCTCTTTTATCTTTTTAATAGCGTGATTTCAAACAGTATCCAGCTCCTGGTTCAAGATCTGGACGCCGCCTGTGATCCCGCTCTGACAGCCATGAGCAAGGTTAAGATATAGCAGCTTTGCCTTTAAAGCTAAATGATCGTTAGCATATTGTTGTCCTCGGGTATAAGGTTAGAAGACTGGGGAAGCGTTTCTGCTGGTGCTGAACGGGCATCTGTCCTGCTGAGAAATAATTTGAAATGTGGTCTGATTTGATTTCATCAGCAGTATCGCTGGAAATATTTTCAGTGATATCTGACGCTGTTGTCCCTTCCTTCCCCCTCAGATGCCATGGCAGAGTGTGGAGCATGTGGGTGACCAGAGTCCTTATGTGACATCGATCATCATGCATATTAAACAAAATGTACCCATCATCAGGGACAACCTGGCCTCCACACGCAAATACTTCACTCAGTTCTGCATCAAGTTCACAAAGTACAGTGAGCACATCAATACACAGAATGTGTAAATTCCATCTGAAAGTTCTTACAACTGATATTTGTCAATTATTTTCTTCCTTAGTTCTTTCATTCCAAAATTCATCAACCACCTTTTTCGGTGTAAGCCTATCAGTATGGTTGGGGCTGAACAGGTAGGTTTGATTGCCTTAATGTGCATATTTGTACAGCCTTTTTATATTCAATCTTGAGTATCAATTTTGCTCCCTAAATTTCTGCTTTATGTTAACTCCCCCACAGCTCCTTCTTGATACTCACTCCCTGAAGACAGTCCTGTTGGATCTGCCCTCCATAGGCTCCCAGGTACTCCGAAAAGCCCCCGCCAGCTACACCAAGATAGTGGTGAAAGGCATGACACGGGCCGAGATGATTCTTAAGGTGAGGAGTGTTGGAAGCTGGAGGGTCATGTAGGCAGGTTACTCTTTGCCTTAATGACTCTTCTATTCAGACATGTTGTTTAATTTTGGGGGGGGGGGTTCTTCTTGCACTGCTTTTAAGTGTAAATTACTCTAAATATGAGAAAGAAGCCAGTCCAAACCAGCCTTGAAGCATTTTGGAAAAACACTCAGTCCTTGTTTCTGAGACTACAAGAGATTAATCTAAACAGTTTACCCCTCACATATAAACTGAGGAAAAGCTTGCATCTTTTTAACTGATGGATTCTTATTGGAATTTGAGTGCAACTCTAAATACAGGATTGTTCAACTTAAACACAGTATCAGTGATACTCAATCCTCATGGAACACTTCACATTTTATGACATTTAACTTGGGAAGCTAAATCCCTTTTTACAACCGAAGCTTCGGTCGGTGACCTTTAAAGGCTAGGAACTTCAGATAAACCCTTTTATTTAAGTGCTGTCCGAAAGGCTTTTCTTTATCTCTTGTTTGCTGTTAAACAGATTTGATGGTGAAGCTCTGACATATCCAGTTAAACATGAGCTTTTACACTCGACCAAAAATAGTCTGGCACAACCAGCACCTAAATGCTTTTCCATTGATTGAGGTTTCATAATAAGAAGCAACAATAGAGCGAACAAACACTCCTCCTGTGAGCATTTTGTGGTCAGACTTGAGAGCCAGCTTTGAATGTTTGTCTTCAATGACTCACTTGAGCAGATCATCCACCCAGGGTTTATTTTGGGTAGAATAGCCCTTTAATTGTCTCTTTAGCCCCACTCACAATAGCACTTTATGAGCATGTTTCCACAAAATAACCCATCTCACATGAGGCGAGGAGAGAACAGCAGTGGAATGCTACTTGTTTAATGAATGAGAGACGGGCCAGCACGAGAAGCATATCTTCAATCACAGCATGTGGCTGAGCCTATGAAAAGGTGCAAGAGAGTAAATAAGTGTGAGCCACTGCGTACCCACCCCAACAACACGCATGCATTGTACCACGTCTGCACGCCGAACGTTGTTTACTGTAAGGAGAGCAATCGCAGGATTCTGCCAGTTGGCCTTGTCTCCAAACTCCCTTATGAGACTCTGGAGGACACTGGTATGTGGCTGCCATAGATTAACCACACCCTAATTAACTGTCTCTGCAGTGAAGGGTATTGCACAGGCAGTCGGAGTGCAAACATGTCTGTCCCCTGATTTCCACTGGTGTCCCCAGAGGCCTTCTTTCCTTCCTCCGGTCAGACCATCTCAGTGTTCACAGCCCTGAGTGTGGGCTGATCTAATTGTGCTCTCGCAGCCATGCCTTTTTAAGGGACAGCAGTGGATGAGAATTACTGGGACAGCTTTACCTCCTGACATAGATGCTTCGTTTCGATTCAGACACTGACTGTCTTTCTCACTGTTTCTTATTTGACTGAGAGTCTCGGTTTGCTCTCCATGCACTCGCTGTAAAGCTGGTCTTTGTCTTGTCGAAAAATGCCTTAAACGTATATCCACAAATTTCCACTCATCTGCCTCACATTAAAGAGCCTTCCACATTATAGGATTATGTGAATGCATTCGCATCAGCCCACAACTGTCTGTTTTTTGTTTTTTTTGTTTTTCGGGGAGGGCATTTTTCTGAATTTGAGTGCCAGCGGGCCCCTTCAGCTGGAATGGATCTATGTGGCATACGAGGAACTCTCAGGCATAGATAACCCTGCATGAAGGCTTTTGATTCAAGTATATTACTGTGACTGCAGGAGACAGAAAATGTTGTTTGGGCAAGTCGTATACCCGGAGAGATATCAGCAGGGAATGCTTGATGCCGAACGCTCTCTCCAAGAAATGTTTAACCGACTTATTTAACAACAGGTACACAATGCAAGTATATTTAAAACAGTGGGCTGTGGAGCACGACAATACAGGTGTTAAATGTTGAAAAAGACCAAACGAGGCAGAATATTTGCACAGGGTTGGGGTGACGAGCAAGAACGGCTTCTCTAGATTTTTGTCAGTCTGAGAGAAACTTTTTAGAAAGAGACACACAAAGATTACTTCTATGACAATTTTTAGCTTTGGAAAGAGAGAAAAAGAGAAGCTTTTGCTCTGCAGCCAGCCCCCTAGACATTGACTTTTCGTAACATCGAGGTTCTTCACAGGTAATTGCTTCCACCTTGAGACTGAAGCGTCTGAAAGACGAACCCAATGAGAGAAGGTCAATACAGGAATTCCTCTGCCTGGCCTCAATGATAGTTTTAAATTACACTTTATGATGCTGTGGCTTGAAATGAAATCTGGCTTGCCCTCTCTAAGAAACTGCAGTTCAGTGGAAGAGTTGAAGGGACACTTCAACTATTTAAAGCTTGTTTTAATATAACTAACTGCAGGGTCCCTCAAACGTTTCAGTTAATCAGGTGTTCTCCAAATTCTTATGTCATTTTCAGGTTTTGGGTTTTACCCCAGAGCTAGAATTAAAAAACGTTGCCTTTGGTGATTGATGGTTGTTTTGCTGATGTGAGTGAGACGTTGGAAGCTGGAAAAGAGACTAAAAAGGGTGGAAAACAATGAAAACACAAACTACGTAACTTTGAAAAGTTAAGACCCACACATAGAACACTGCTACAAATAAAACAAACCAAAAAAAAATCACAAAATCACTTCAGAGAACAATAAAAACTATAAGAGGTGCGAAGAATGTCTCTAAGGACGCACCTTATAATTTAAAAAGGATGCTCAATCCATTTGTCTGCCCTGAAAAAGGCCAAATTCAAAGGAATATAAAGACAAACGGAGCTGAGAAACCACACGAGTGTGAAATGACAAAGCAGTCATTTTGCCCTTCACATTTGTTTTTTTTTATATTCTGTTAGTGAGGATGGGGGGCCCAGAGGCCTCATAATCCATCCATGTTAACACAGTTGTGTGATTCATACTTAATGTGAAGTAGTTTTGCTGCTGTAATGTGATGGAGTTGTCATTTAACAGCAATCAGACTTCTCTGGTCCACAGCAAGGCTGTCAGAGTGCCTGCTTGATTGTAAAAAAAGAAAAAAAAGGAAAAAAATGAATATATGTAGGCTGTCTGCTTTGTGAGCCAGTGCTGAGCTGCATTCAAAGTGCATAAGACTCTTTCTGTCTGTCTGAGACGGCCTCTCCTGGCCTCTACAATGCCTGTGAGACGTGGCTGTTTTCCACACTCTCTCAGCCCAGCCCACCATAGCTCCAGCTTTTCTCCGTCTTTCTGAAGTTCTCTTCTGGGGAGGATTTCAAAGGCAACCCCCATCCCCTCCCTTGTTAAGCCTGAGAGTTTCTCTCCTCCATTTCTCTCCCTCTGTTTTAAAACCCATGTTCATTCTTAACTTTCACTCCTCCTATCTTTTTCTTTTTTCTTTTCTTTTTTTTTTTTTTAAAGGTCCCTACTGGCCTTTCTCCTGGCCTGGTTCCAGGACAGTTGCTAAGTAAATCACTCAGTCTGCAGGGCTAGTAAGAAAGCAAAAGAATTCCTCACAATCCTGAGCCTCTCATGCATGCCTCCCTCTCTGTCTCTCCTGTGTGGGATTTCTCCACTCTCAGGCCATCTTCTTGTGCATTTTACCTAGAGTAAAATAGTAGATTTAAGCACGGATAAACTTGTTTGGAAAGTGTTTTCTGAGAGCTCGGGCCTTATTGGGCGCATGTGCATTAGACGGGATTTAGTGGGCTCTGTCAGCCATGTGTTGGTTTACCTCCTTTGCAGCAGCTTAGAGAAATCCCTACTGTTGAGGGGAACAAAAATCTACCAGGAGGGTTCATTGCCCAGACATCCCCCCCCCACCCCCACCCTGCGTTCATGCTGCTGATGTTTGCCCAAACTTATTAGGCCCCCAAAATAATTACCTTTGAAGCTAATTCTTGTCTCTTCATGCGTGCTGTAATTGTTGTGTAAAAAAGGAAAAGAGCTCTGGGGACCTGAAAACCACCTCAACTACTTGCTTCTGTCATTTGTGGCCACCTTCTCCCTCATTTGGGCCTCGGCCCCATGTGGGATTATTTAAAGATCCCTCGGGTCATCCCTTGATGGCTGACAGGAAATTGGTGATTTTGGAAGCGGAGGGGGGGTGGGGGTGGAACCACATTAAACTCGAAACCTTTTCCACAGGTGGTGATGGCTCCTCATGAACCACCGGTTGTGTTTGTTGACAACTACATCAAACTGTTGGCCGATGGCAATCCAGAGACTTTCCAGAAGATTCTGGATATGAAGGTGAGTTTGTGCGGTTTTACCTGAGAAAGAGATAAAGAGCTTAATCTGTGAAAGGTTAATAGATAACATGACCTCTGATAAAGCCAGTAGCTGTGCCATTTTTCTCTTAAGCCTCCATATGGCTTTATAGAGATGCTGCCTCAGAATTAGTTTACCTTTAGAAAAGCCTGTTATTGTTTGTTTCATTCTGCCCGTCCGCTCAACACGAGCGTGTGTGCTGATAGATTTTACAAGAGAAAGAGATCATTTTCTTTAAAACATCAAATGTTTCATCCCTTTATCACAACTGTGGACGGAAGTGTCCGAGCTTTTAATAATGACCTGTCATTGGAGCAGAGCCCGAACAATAGATTAAGACATTCCAATTCATTCATCAGGCGAATTACCCATTGATTAACCAAAGCCAAGATCAACCTTTTAATAATTCCTTTTTCTTGGAATTCCTGGTCAGCACTGAAATGGAACCTGATTTCATGTTTGTCCCGTGTGTGTGTTTGTGTGTTTGTGTGTGTAGGGCCTGAAGCGCAGTGAACAGAGCAGCATGCTGGAGCTCTTCAGGCAAAGGCTACCCACTCCGCCCTCCGGGGCTGACGGAGGCCCCACTCTGTCCTTCAATGCCCCGACCCCGGAGCAGGAGTCGTCCCGAATCCGCAAACTGGAGAAGCTCATCAAGAAGAGACTGTGAACACACTCACTTTCACATCACGGCGTGCCGATGCGACCCCCCCCCCCCGCCGTCCGAAAGCTAATATTCATCTCAAAGTCAATGAAACGTTCTAGAAAGAGACTGCACTTTCTGACTTGTAGTAACTTGAAGACAAGCCGATGCTGGATTATGAAGAAACTTCCTCAACGGTTAGTAGCTGTGGTTAAGTATGTCGTGCACTTCTGCAAATGTTCCATTGTTTCTTCTCATGACACTAAGCACTGAACTCAGAGAAGAGAATCTAGTGTAATCTTCCACCTGCTTCTCAACATATCTAATCCAGAATGATTACTAGCATTCTACTCTTAAATAAGTGTGTGTTTTTCTTCTGGGCATAATGTATTTTAATATGGCAGATACGTGAACTTTTTAAAGGAGCGGGTGTAAATTTGTGTCGTCCATCAAACCGATGTAGATGTTTTTGTTTTTTTTAGCATGGCCTGAAGTGATCTGATGGGGACTGGAAGGGATTTTGGATTCTCTATATTTTCACACCTGTTCAGTTGATCTGATGTGATTTTCTTTTCTTTTACTTTTTTTTTGGTGGTAGCAATCCAAAAGCACTTAAATGAATTAAGTCATCTTTCCTCGCTGATGGGAAATGTGTGTCTCGGCTGCCCAGATTGCTCTGCACTGTTTCAAATATTTCTGCTTACATCAGGATTTCAGGAAGAAAACTCGCAGTCTGTTCACTGACTATTCTCATCGATTTTGATGCTAGTGCCTCTCATTTTTCATGGCCGCGTGGCTCCAGTAAATCCCTTCATTAATGTACCCACTCCTCCATCTCACACAGAATGTTGTACAATTCATTGTCTGAACGGTGTGCTTCAAGGACAGGTCTATTAAAGCATTGCCACAGAACTTCCTCTACGCTTCAACCGGCGGGTGTGTGCTCTTTTACTTTGCAACAATACCAGGAAAACGTATCAACCTGAATGGAACTGGGTCCAATTTAATGGAAGGTCTGGAAAAGTTCCCATCGCTGGCCTTGTCTCCCGTTGCCAATTATCTCCCGACCAATCGGCAACAAATAAATGCAATAAAAGGCGTTTCCTTTCCTGCGTTTGAGAATGTGAAAGCCCCCACCCCCCTTTGAGAGGCTGCAAGTTTGAAGAGGAGACGCGGGTGGCTGGGTTCACTTCATTCTTGCCCCTGCTTGTGCAGAAGTGAATGAGAACTCAAAGACACGCACACATGAGAAATTCTAATGTAACGTTTTTGGAAAAGGCTGTTTGTCATCTCTGTGGAAAGCTCTCTCACTCAAGCTGTTGGGAACCTGAGGTCTGCCCGGGCTGACAGGATTTACGGGACGAAGTTTGCCTCGACACCCAGCGAACCCGCTCGCGGGGAGGAACGGAAGTGTTGACGGCAGTTGGTCTTTCATCACCTGCGGGTCCCCGCGGGACTTTTTCGCAACGCTTTCGCCCCCGGAAATGGTCGGCAGGTTGAACTTGCCAAATGTTTGCGAAGGAGACCCTCTGGACATGAACAGCAGCAGGGCTGACAGAGGACTGGACAGCCCGGACTCCGGGCTGCCCCCCAGCCCGAGCCCCAGCGCGTGGCTGCAGCCCGCGTGCGCCGAGAGACCCGGGGCTCCGGTCCCGGGCTCCGAGGACGAGGCAAGGGGCTCCGTGGTGAGTTCAATGACTGGTAACTGCCCTCGTAATTACCCAATTTTCTTTATTTTTATTTTTTTAAGCGTCCAACCGTAAAGGTTTCCACGTATGAACATAATTTGGGGGTTTCTTTCAGTTCAAAGGTGTGCTGCATTTCATTTCCTGTTGCCTCTCATCACACAGAGATGGACCACATGTCACTGTTTTCAATCCAGCCCGTTTCCTGACCCCCTAATTGTCAAATGTCTGATTCTCTCATTAAACTGGTGGACACGTGCAGCTTGCACTGATCACCAAGGTCAAATTAGCATTGAATTAGGCCAATTAGCACTGCCGCCAGGATTAAATGACCAATAGGAGTTGTGCTGGTGGTTTTTATTTGACTGTTCAGTGATTTATGTGCTGCAGATTCCAGTTTCACCTGCTGGATGCGTTCCACAGCTGCAGCCACTGTCCTACGGGGAAGGCATAGCACTTGATCCTTTACCCTCAAAGGAACTCAGGTGGGTTTGTTTCCACACAACTCTGTGTTTAGTGTAATATATATATATAAGATAACTGGTGCAGACTTTACATTTGTAGCTTGCACTTTGTTTCTGCAGATACACGGCCTCCGTGCACTACGACTCTGACCGTCACTTCATCCAGGACGTGGACCTTTGGCCGTGGGGCCAGGGCCTGGAACGCTGCGCGCAGACCGTGGTGGCCGTGTCCCACAGCAGCTGGCGCAGCTACAAGACGCAGCTGGATTTCCAGCCCCGGCTTCGCCCCCGGTGCTTCAAGAGCACCACCATCGTTTACCCGAAGAGGACCAGCACGGTCTACACCACGGAGCTGAGCTACGACTCCCATCGACTGTCCAAGCGTTTCCTGTCCAGCGTGGAGCTGGAGGCGGCCGGCAGCAAGAGGTTGCCTCTATGAGAGTGGAATGAAAGGGAAGGGGGGGCATTTCCAGTACCCCTGTGTTGATTTATGCTTAAGGTTGCACTGAAGCCGGGTTGGGCTCTTTGGTCAATTCCCACATGTTAATAGGCTAGTTTGTTTTTATTCATTGATGTTTTTTTCCCTCCATCCACTGACATGGGTTCACCTCGAGCTGACACTCATCACAGGTTGAAATTGTCATTCTCCTAAGTCTCTTGACACATTATTGAAAGATGCTTTTGATTGTAGGAGAGGCCAACGGTGCCCAAGATGATGCTGCAGCATCCGTCTTCTACTAGCACTGACCTGTTTGTAGTTTGTGTCTTTTGTTTTTAGTTGAGTAGCTTGCTATTGAAAAAAATCCATACCAAGCCTTTGATGGGAAGCATCTGTACTGCGATCACGGTGAGGCTATTGGGGAATTCCATAGAGATTCTTTATCTATATATTTTCTTTATATTTATGGCACAGTGTATACATTTTTATTTTAAAAAATGTAATTCTATTTCACCCTTTATTTTCAGCTTGTTGAAGTCTACTAATATCAATGGAGAGAGAGAGGAATCAAAGTAGAAACAAAGTCTAGTTTGAGTGAAGTTACTGTTTTTAATTATTTTAAGACTGGCTTATTTAGCTCATGTTTTTTTATAAGGCGATGGCAGTGGGTGTGCAATTGATCAGGTTACCTGGGTTTTAATTAACTTTGAAATGGTTTATCAGCACTGTGAAAGGTTTTTCCACTTTTTCTTTTCACAGGGTTTGTGTGCCTGTTCACACCATAATGCAGTTAAAGCTCTTTACAAGCGTTCTTTCTAACCTATGATTGGAAATTTATAATTGGAGTTGCATGATAAATGGGTAACCTTAAGTGTGTAACCTTTTTTTTTTTTTTTAATGGTTAATGCAGATGGCTCTGAGAGGAGTTTATTGAGAAGTTGATCAACAGCTGACAGCATTCCACTGCTATATTTATGGCATGACTTGGATTTAATTTTTATTTATTCTCTTTGAAGTTTGGGGTTCTGAGATCTGTTGCAGCTCATTAACCGTTCTCCCCCCAAGGTGATGGTGGGGGATATTTTCTAGGACTAATTGATATGTTCGTACACTCAATGAATATTAATCTCCATTTTTTTTGTGCTTTTTAAATAAAAGTAATTTGTTCAATATGTGTAAGGTCTTTACTTTTTTCCCTCGTCTGCGTTTGGAAAAGGGGAGGGGGTGTGAATTGCATGGTTTGCCAAGGAGTGGCAGGGTCAACCAACAAAAGAGAAGACTCACCACGTTTGCTTTTGAGGGTTCTGTTTCTCTCAGGAGGACCATGTCCTCAAATCTTCATGGGTCAGCTCAATTTACCGGTTCTTGCCATCTATCCACGCTAGAAATGGTAATATCTGGACAGAATCCACCATTTGGTTACATTTCGTGTGAAGTCACGTTTATTTATTTGTATATATCCGTTATGATTTTTCAGAAGTAATCTTATTTTTCACTAAGGGACGCTCTCACATTGCCCTCTTGTGGCCAGAAAGGGACGGTGCAACAGACTGATCAATGGTCCATAATACCGTGTTTCAGATGTTTATAATCATGCATTACCCGTCTGATTAATGGCTTTGGGTAACAATAATGTTATATAAGGAGTAAAATAATTATACGGATAAACTATCTTGTGTATTCCTTACACAGTATCAGCATTTGTCATGTTAATAGTAATTTCGTAAGTGCTATCAATGTTGATCGTTACATTCTTTAAATTTTTTTTATTGATTTCCAATAACTCAAATCCCGCATACATTTGCATTATTTGTCAGATTTGCGTAATGTAAAAAAAGTCACAGAGTGTTTGACACTCTACAAAATATTTTGTACTGAATTTAGTGTAAACAATGAGTGTTACTTTTCCCCACCGACCCTGAAGGCAGCATTATGCACCAGCATAGGTGGGAAATCAAACATCTTTGGTACGTTCAAAAATTGAAAAATAGTAGGAAAAAAGCCGTATTTGAAAATAATGGAAGATAATAAAAACAGAAAACTAAATGAATAAACTCACCAAACATTACGTCATGTGACGTAATGGTTCAGAGGTCAAAATTCGTCCACAGCTCTTCCTCACACGCTTCCGATTAGTCGGGCGTTTGTTTTGCTTCGTACTGGGATGTATTTGTGGCGTGTATTTGTATCTGTTGGTGGACAGTAATGACCGGATTGTACTGATACAACGTCGTAACTGTCAGAAGTCGTAACTGGTACTTTATTCAGGAATATGGTCGCAGTTAGCTTGTGGCTAACTAAGTAACTTGAGGAGATGAAGACTGCCAGTAGTAACCCCACCAGCATCATGGACATGTTTGAAAAGGGAAAAGTACTAAAAATCTGTGCACCAATGGTTCGATATTCAAAGTGAGTCAAATGGGTTTTCTTTCGACATCTGCGCTTATTCCTGCAGTGGTAAACACCGTGCAGCTGTTATTTTGTTCTGTGTTCGATCTCTGACTTCGACTTGTCCACAGGCTGGCGTTCAGGACTCTGGTCAGAAAGTACAACTGTGATATTTGCTTCACCCCGATGATAGTTGCGGCTGACTTCATGAGATCGATCAAAGCCAGAGACAGTGAATTCACGACTAATGAACGTGAGTTGGAGGTGCAGCTGGAAGGGGGGGCTAGGGTTAGGTTTGTTTAACCCCATCCCAGCGTCCACAGGCTGATGAGAATAATGTCTGTTCCTCTTGCCCCTCAGGTGATCGGCCCCTGATAGTGCAGTTTGCTGCCCACGATGCCCAGACCCTGGCTGATGCAGCCTGTGTGGTGGCACCTTTCTCAGATGGAGTCGACCTGAACTGTGGATGTCCTCAGAGGTGCAAGAATCACAGCAGACCTGAGCAGTTTAGACTGCAGTCATTTTCTGTCTAAGCCTTTTATTTAAACGTTTTAATGGACTTCATTCAATATTTGAGTCTATTTACAAGTGATGAGCTTTTTCAATCCCTATAGCCAATGTATGGATGGATAATCATATACAATTAGAATAGAGGAAAATAATTGAAATGCGTATGTCAATAATTTGTGATTTTGTTGGGAGAAGTGACTGTTATAGTCTTTCCTGCCTGTTGTGTTTTCAGATGGGCTATGTCTGCGGGTTATGGCGCATGCCTCATCAATAAGCCGGAACTTGTTAAAGACATGGTTAGACTCGTCAGGAACCAGGTGGACAATCCAAACTATACAGCCTCGATCAAGATCAGGTAAAAATGAATAAATAAATATATACATATATGGAAATGGAAATGCACTTACATAGCGCTTTTCTAGTCAAGCTGACTACTCAAAGCGCTTTACACTACGTGTCATTCACCATTCACACACACATTCACCAGTGGGCACACCAGATGCAACCAGTAGGATGCCTCTTACAGTTTCCATAAACACTGTAATGGTTGTTGTTGATTATCTGAAATGACCCCACTCACAGGATTCATAAGGATTTGAGGCAGACCGTGGATCTGTGTCAAAAGGCGGAATCTGCTGGCGTGTCGTGGATAACGGTCCACGGACGGACGTCAGATGAACGTCACCAACCGGTTCATTATGATGCCATCAAGACCATCAAAGACAGCGTGTCTGTCCCCGTCATTGCCAACGGGGACATCAAGTATCTCCGTGATGTGGAGTCCACTCACCACCTTACTGGTGTCGACGGTGTGTTATCTGCAGATATGTAGTCTCTCAGCAACCTCACCTTTCTCCCTGTTACAGATTTGTAAATGCCAATATTGGAATTATAATTATTGCCATCTTGTCTGATCCTCAGGTGTGATGGCCGCGCGGGGGCTGCTCGCTAACCCTGCCATGTTTGCCGGATACGACGATACACCGTTGGCATGTGTGTGGGACTGGGTGGACATCTCAATTGAGCAGGGCACTCCGTTCACTTGTTTCCACCACCATCTTATTTACATGCTGGAGAGAGTCAGCTCCCAGCCGGAGCGAAAGATGTTCAATTCTCTGTCCAGCACCTCAGCTGTTATAGATTACCTCCAGAACACATACGGGTCAGTTCACGACCTTTGAACATGTATTTATGGAGGTTTACAGTTTTGATTTTATCTTTTTTTTTCATATTTTCTTAAAAATGCCAAATAAAATTGCAAAGCTATTGTTTCATGCTTATTATTTCTGTATGTTATTCATTCAAGTCGAAAGAATGACCATGGATTTAACAACCCAAAAAATCAAATAAGTGAGATGTTAAACAGTATTCTAAGACTTTTATATACAAAGTGCATTCAAAATATTAAAACCAGCAAGCAGTCTTGATTATTCTCGTTTGCAAAAACTAAAAATTTTGTACGATTTAGTATATAGAATTGTATTTGTATTTAGAATACAATTTAGGTAAAGAAAGCAGCGGAAATACAAAGTGATACAGTCTGCCTTCAAAGTAAAGTTATAAGTAACATCAGGGGACAGTTTTAGAGGATGGACGAAGGGACTTTAAGGTTTCATGAAACTCTTTACTTGGAACAGTAAAGCACAGTTTTAAGCCGATTTATACTTGAAATTCTGGTACAATTTGACTTATTTAAGTGAAAATATATTACGACAACGATTTCTTTACAAGTTGTATGTTAGTTTTAATTTGGAAACTCGTCTCGGAAACAGTTTTCAACGAGATATGTGAGCCAACAACGTTGAAGCAGGAAGAGAGGGACAGGAAGATAAAGTTTTCTGGCGAAGTCACTTCTTATTGTCAGCTTTTGTCGAATTTTCGGTAAGTCACGCATTTATCGCTGAATAGTAGCCTTTTTTATGTCTCGTTGCCAAATTGAGTTCAGCTGAAGCCACATGTTAGCACAGGCCATAGCTTAGCAGTGCATTGGGATAATGATACTAATCGTGGGAAGAGGAAAAGTGCAAAATAACCCTTTACGAGGACCCATTTTCAATTAAAACGCTTAAACATTCATGGTTATATTATTGGGGTGTTGCTACAGTAAGTTTTAGCAACGTTAGTTTGGCAAAGTGAGTCTCCCGGAAGTTTGTGATAGTTTAAGTGTGAATAAAGTGGTGGTTCGTAATGTGTTCCTACATATTCCATTTGTCAGAGGGGCTGCTCAGCCCAATCTCCTGTTCCCTCTTTAAGGTTTGCAATCTGTTTGTGTTCAGTTGAAACATGACGTTGCAGTGGACTGCTGTGGCCCTCTTCCTCTATGTGGAGATTGGAATCATCGTCATCCTCTGCTTGCCCTTCATCTCAGCCAGGAGGTAAGGGCCAGTATCCAGCAGGCGTGTGTCCTGTGTAGTAATTATGCCCAAAAAAGGGGCATTTTTCTGAGTTGTGATGTGTAACTGCACTTGGTTTTGCAGATGGCAGAGTATTTTCCAGCTGCGCATTTGGGGCTTTGTGACGAGGTTCTGGAACAAGGTGTTTCTCACCATGATCATAGTACTCATTGTTCTCTTTCTTGGTAAGAATAAAGTATTATGTCTTTATTCCTCTAATTATTATTAAACCAACTCTGTGATGTAAATATCTGCTAGAGTTTTGACTTCATTATTTTTTATTAAAAGAAAAGCTCAGACATCAAAAGTTGAATGATAGTTTTAATGTGATATGGATATGGCCCAAGTGGCTCATAACAGTTTGCAAAGAATACCTGGTATTGTTTTGTTTTTTTACAACCATGAGTGATTTTGTAGGCAAAATGTTATGTTAACAATAAACAAACCAGGTTATTTTTATTCTACTTTGTTACACGTCAGGGTGATGATGTGTATGTGACGTACAGCACAGGAAATATCACATAGCATCTCATAAAACAGCCTTGGAATTTGGTTTTTACAGTTTTGTTTTATTAAGAATGTGGACACGGCTTTAACAGGATTCATTGTTTCGACTAATCTCTCTCTTCAGATGCTGTGCGAGAGGTGAGGAAATACTCTGCAAAAGAAATTGGCACAGATGCCAAGCTGCAACCAAATATGTTTGACCACCTGCACATGAAGCTCTTCAGAGCCCAAAGGAACCTCTACATTTCCGGCTTTGCTGTCTTCCTCTGGCTGTGAGTACCTGCCTCTAGTGCTAACCCAAACTTCCTCTTTGAATGCAAGGCAAGTTTATTTGTAGAGTGCAATTTGTACAAAAAGCAATTCAAAGTGCACCATAAAATCTTAAAGGAAAGAAAACATTTAAACATTTAAACTAATCATCAAGAAATTGAATTAAAAGGCAATCTGCAAATTAGATAATTTTAGGTGACATATGCATTGCTTAATAGACCTGTTTTCATTCTGGATTTAAACATTGTTAGTTTTTTTTTTTCTCAGTCATCCTCTGAGCCCTTTTTTTGTTTGCAGGGTTATGAAGCGATTGATCACTTTAATCAACCAGCTAGCATCTGTGTCTGGGTCTACAGCCGCTCTTCAAACCCAAGCTCAGAATGCAAACCAGGAAGTGGAGAAGTACATGAGGGACAATGAGAAGCTTAAACAAGTAGGCTTCATACATGCATTGTATTTTGGGGTGTGTCGCTTTCCTGCTAACTATATTTAATTCTGTATTCATAAAATGGATGTCATTTGATGCATTTCAGACTCTGATGGAAGGGCAGGGGGATAAGGCTACTTCTGAGGGCATGGAGCTGTTAAGAGGAGAAATGGGGAAGCTGAAATATGAGCTGAAGGTGTCTGGAGAAGGTTAGCACACAAGTCCTCTCTGATGTTAGCTGTGTGATTGAGTTCTTTTTCCATTCTGACCAAAAGAATTTGATTTTACAGCTGCAGACTAATCACTTGTTGGAGATAAATGCTCAGCGGATGTTTTGTGTTGGTGGGATTATTTTATGTGCAGCCCTGAAGAAGTCCCAAGCCGAGGCAGATGTCATGCAGAAACAGATGGACGGCCTCGCCAGGGAGTATGACCGGCTGCTGAAAGAACACCAGGAGCTGCAGGTAATGCACGGCTCAAACACAACAGGACAGGGGCTACTGGCTTATTGTGTAACACAAAGTGAAAATGACCTACCTCACTCCATCGAGTGGCCAATTGTCAGAATTACACTGGTTAATATAAACACACTGTTCATGCAAAAACAGCCACAGACAGCTCCTGGCTTCACTGTCTTTACATTTGTTTAATTCATCCTTTTTTAATCATTCGATATGTTAGTTAGTCATTTGGAAAAATTCTAAAATGGGCTAAAAACAGTTTCTCCTTTTCTCTGAGGCTCTTTGTCATTTTAAGGTGAGTGAAAGAGGAGAAAAGGTGCAAAGTGCCAGTACATTTTTCTAGGAAACGTATTGTTTGTTTGTGTCCAGTTTGTCAAAGTTCCCTGAAAGTCTTAACAGTATCAGCCGGCGATGTACGCAAACTACACAACTACAAAAGCCGCATGAGCAACCGTTCTCTTTTATGTTTTTTTCATCTTTCCTATTGTATAAAGTCTTTAAAACTCTGATGTTACTGTGTAGCATTGTTTGATGCAGCATAGTGACTGTTTTCTTTTCATACCCTTATTCCTTCAGAATCTTCAAGATAGTGGAACCAAAAAGGATGACTAGTCTCTGCAACTTAACCAAGTCACAAGAGAGCACACTCTGAGCACACTTTTCACCCCCCCACCATACAACCCACTGTCATTGTTTGTTTCACAAAACCGGGACGGGATCCTCCGAAAGAGGACAATTTGGGTGGATAACGGTGGTGATTTTAATTTAGTTTTGTCGGGGTATCAGATTGGCATTATTCGAACGTGTAATACCTGATGGTTTTCCGGTTGTGGCTGCTGCGGCGTATCTAAGAGGATTACCTTTTGCAAGTGAATGCAATCGTCAGATGAATTGTACTTAAAATAAGAATTCTGCTAGTGGATCCAAGGGGATCCCAGAGCTGCGTGGGTTTAAAATACTGGGTGTTTTGTGGTTGGTGCTGGTTTGGCCCCTTGTACAGAGTAACATGGAACACATGCTGTCAGGAATCTGTCAGTGCAGTGGATGGCTATGAAAATGTTCCCTAATGGTCTGCATCAATGGCTATGAAGTTTTTAAGTAGATCAGCTTCATACTTTTTTTATACACCTTCAGCCCGTACAAAAATACAGCGATACCTAGAAAGAAATATTCATGGAGTTCTTAAGGCTCACCTTCAAATATTGATTTCTCTTATTGTCCTTGATTTGAACATTTCCAATGCATATTAAATCCTTTCACACAAAATCAAACTAACAGTAAGGGTTGAAAACTTAAACTGTCTTAGGCTTGTAAATAGGAAGATGAGGATTTCTAATGGATGAAAGAATGTCATTTTTTTATATTAATGCACTGTTTGCTGTAGTCTGTTTCAGATAATGACTTTTGTGTTAGTTTTGCATGTGTCATAAAACAGGAATGTATTCTTTTTTTTGTAATAATTCCAGACCAGGCTACATCACTGTGAAATTGCAATTACGTGTTTAAACATTCCTTGGTTTTAAGTAGTAAAGCAATTTTTATTGGTTTAAAACACATTTTGTTCATTTCCATTGTACAAAGAAATTGGCTGGAAGTGCCTTTTCTCAGCTGGTAGCGAGACATTTTCTCCAATAAAGTTTTGTAATTCTGTGTTTAATTTATTAGCATATTTACTGAGTACCTGTAAGAAACACCAGGAAACATGATTTGATTGGATGTTAAAAGTTTTATTCTTCATTTCATACTGACGATGTGCTCGAAATGTTACAAAAATAGTCCAATGAATTTATTTACAATCATTTTTTTAAACACAGGTAACAACTCAAATGTAGTGCTTAAGCAGCTCCAGAGTGGTTTCATGGGATCGGTCAGACGTCTAGAACTGGCCAAGTCAAAGCTCAGACTGCTGAGCACCGTTCAGCTTAATAGTTGGAACAGTTTTGTGAGGGGAAATGAGCTAAATTGAGACTATTGAATTTAAGGGTTTTAGCAACTGCTTCCATTTAGAATTTAAAATGACTAAAGAGCCAAAAGAACAAACACTTTTTCAATTCACTGCTAACAGCTTCAGTATGTAGGCTGGTAAGGTGGCATTTGGTTTCTTTTGTTTTATTACCAGCAAGTCACTTCACAGCAATATTTCATTTTCACGTATTGACATAAAGAAAAAAAAAATCCTTTAATCATGTCTGGACTGAATGCATTACCTGTAAATATATTTATATTGATTATTTTCAGTCAATTTGTTCTCCACAAAATACTGTGTTTTATGCTCCTCTGGTGCATAATACTGGATCCTGGCTTCTGCCAAAAAAAAAAACATTAAAAAAAGGACTGGGGTCCACCTGTGCCAAACTTAAGTCACAAGATGGGTCAAAATTTTAAATCTCAGAAAGAATACAAGATGGATGGTTTTTCAGTCTTTTATTCATTGTGAAAAAGCAAAACAATACAAAAATGTTAGCTAAGTTGTGAGGATCTATGAATATTCATTTTGCATATAAATATTAAGTCTAGAGTGAACTCAAAATCTGAAATGTAAATGAGGGAAAACCTAAAAGGGTCCAAATGTATATACTGTGTGAAATCAAGACAAAAGGAGGGAGTTTCATTTTGTGTACATTTTTTCATAATTTCATTCTTTAAGTAATAACACTGATGGTAAAAGAGCAGGAAAACTGTACCTGTGCATTGTTTTCAAGCTGGGCATCAGTTAAATAATACCTTGTCATTCCTGTTCAATGTAGAAATTTCCAATATGTAATAGCAATGGCATGTGGTTTCTTTTTTTCTATTTGTCTTTTGGCCTCTAGTAGTAGAAGTTAGCTTGACTTTGGGACCGGACATCCTGGAATGTCTCTCATTTTGTAATGGGGTTTAAGGTTTCCTGAGCCTCTAGAAAAGATCAAACAATAACTCTTAATAACGATTCAGATGTGTCGTCCATTCTTTTGGAATTTAGCCTTATATGATATTAAAAAGTTAGATTTAGGGAGGAAAAAAAACTGAGAGGAGACTACATTGTTACAGGGTTTTGGCACAGCTAACATCTTTCATACAAAAAGAAAAAAAACACAAACACCTGAACACTGAAGCACATGTAACAAAGGTTGCGGGCGTGGGAACAGACCCTACACACCCTCTAAGAAATCAGCAATAAATAAACATTTCCTGTGGCAACAGTAACACGCAGTGACTTTTTCACCGAAAAGACTCAAACAGCACAAGTATACCAATAATTTAATTTTCAGCATTACAAACTCTGCCTCTTCCAAGGCACCACAATCTGGCAAACCACTCTGAGATACTTCTTACTAATTTTAAGCCTTCACAAGAGCTTTCTGTGTTCTATTTTCTTAGAAAACCTTTTCCTTAATTCTGCTTTTCAAAGGCAAGAGTTAGAGGGCCTTTTGTGTGTGTTTTTTTTGTATGGGGGGGGCACTGAATTCCAGTTTTCTTTTGTAAGAGCACGTTACAACAAAACACAACTTTCTTTTTTCTTTTTCTTTTTCTTTAAATGAGGAATATTACGTTTACATCCAGAAGAACACGAAACAAACTGCAAGTACAATCAGACCAAAATTTGGGCTTTAAGTAAAAGGCAAATGTTTAAAAGTCATTCAGAAAGAATCTTTTTCTTTTTTTTTTCCATGAAGATATTCAGCTTGAAATCTTAAAAGTGGAATGAAAAAAGTTTGAATGTCTATGTTTCAAAACCTGTGGGATCAGACTGCTAGCACGTAGTCAGAGGTAACTGTTGAGTGAATGAGGCACATACTGTAAATCACATCATCCCATCAAGTCCTTTTTAAAGTCACTAAAGTACATGTCCAGGCATGTTTGTCCACATCTGGCAGAAAAGTCTGATTGCTTGACTTTTCACCTGCTTTGGGGGGGTTGTGGGCCTCACCTGAGGCAGTCTCACCTCCTCTGTTTGGTAGCAATGGCTGCAGGAAACGCCTCTCCGTCGTATATCATACCTACAGAAGCAGCTCAGAAATGCTGGTGTTCATAATCGTAGTGTTTTGCAGTAGTTGCACAAATCACACTTGTTGTGTATTCTCCGCGTCAGGATTAAAGTGAAATATATCAACAGCATGTACATTCAAGAAATAGAGCAAGTATATGAAATGTGTCTTATTCACAACACCTGCACACGCTCAGTAGTACAAATATAGATTTTATGCTATACACGAGATGATTGAACCCAACCTGGGATTCCCTGAAAATCTCACTTGTGTGTGTGCCCCTGTAGACAGCGTCACACCACACAGCTCTGTGTGTGTGTGTGTGTGTGAGCTCGAGCACATGTAAGAGACCAGAGATGTCCGTCCTGCAGATGTGTTACAGTCGGGTGTTCCTAACTGTGCTGTTGTCTGAGTTTTGTGCTAATTGGTCAGAATTTGAAATCACAAACTCCTCCCTCCTGAGCGCCTCCAGTTCAGTTCCACCGTTAGTCAGGGCTCCGTGCATGGCACTTCTCTCCTCCTTCTTCAGCTGTCGACTGAGCAAGATGAAGCCCGGGATGCAAATGATAAACGAGATAGTCCGCAGGCTCAGAGTCAGACCCAGGTAAGCTATCCTGAGAGGGAAAAGAAAAGAATGGATATCACTTACTGGTTCATTTTATTTATTTTTCCATCCATCCATCCATTATCAATACCGCTTATTCCCTGTTGCGGTCGCGGGGGGAACTGGAGCCTATCCCAGTGGTCAACGGGCGAGAGGCAGGGTACACCCTGGAAAGTTTATTTATTTTTTTCGGACAAAAATTCAACTCAACATTTAGATCTGCATTAAGCTCCCTCTACTGTTGCTATTTACAGGAGTGAGTTTGTTGTCTTTAACTTCAAAGAAAGCGTAGCAAAGCTACAAAGAAAAAAATAATCTGTGAAATATGCAAAGAAACTGAGTAACACATCAGGGGAGAAGAACTTATTTTTATTTTCATGTCAATGGAACTGAGGAAGCTAACTGAAGCAGAGAAACCATGATACAAAAAAAAAGATTTAAAAAATCTGTGATTCATGAAACAGACCTAAATCTCTGGAGTATTACAGCACGTTTAATTAGTTTGTTAATAGTGGGTGTAGATGGTAATAGTATGCATGTGAGTGCTACCTGTAGGCGGTAGTGTTGTAGATCCTGCAGGCTCCTATGCCTCCACATCTCTTCTGACCCCATTTGAGACATGTGGTGTCGATGATTGCTCCAAAGTAGATGGGGGCTGGAATTCCTGCTGCAAGACCAAATTATTTTACAATTAGTGCACCGAAAGCTGAAATACATCAGATCATCAAATCAGGAAAACACAGTTGAACGCGACTCAAATGTGGCCACCGCAGAGAGGACACTTACCCAGAGTGCGTGTCGCTAAGGCGTGGAACCCCAGAGCCAGAGATTTGAGCTGGGGTTTAATGCACCTGCAAGAGCAACAAATGAGGGCTTTTAAGAATATTTTTTTCATTAGAGACTTGTGAGAAAAAGCATTAAATAGAAAGTACTTAAGAAAAGACTGTGTTTAATACACAGTCTTGAAAGAGAACTATTTCAACAATTAGAAAGTGCCTAAGGTACTATCTTATTCTTCTAACAAATTATGCTCTGGGCTAATTTAAGTTCTATCTCCAAGTTAATGAGAATAAAGTTTACATTTGTCACATGTTATAAAAGGATGGAATCCATACACCGTACAAAGCGTGCGATTGTCAAATATACACAGGTTACTTCGTTCTTTGAGCAAGCCTTTTCTAAACTATTTGTAACCCTTAATCCCTTGGTCACTTTAGTCTGAACAGGAAAAGATTGTGCAGATCTTGGGTCTGTACAATGAAACTGAATAAGGAGAGAGCAGGGAAAAAAAGCACTTAGTAACTGAATTTGTGTCACGCTTTGCATTCCAACGGATCAGCTGACGTGGCTTCGGGAAATCTTGTGTGTGCTGCTTTATGTGTGTTTTCATGTTTTCGTGGCATAATTTCTTTAACGTTGCGCTGCTCTAAATCACTATTTTTATTCTCCGGAAACACACTTCAGGGCAGAGATAGGGATGACACAATGTAGGGTTAAAAAACAAGGCAAGATCACTATTAATTCTCTTAATCTCTTGAAGGATTCTGCCAGCAGAGGCTGCTCTGGGGCACAAGATTCTGTGACTTTTACCTGGACTGCGCTACACGCATACAGGCGGTTGTCTAAGAAATGACTCCCAGTAAAAGCCCTTCTAACAGATGTGCCGTTTGTGAAGGCATGACAGTGTTTGGATGGAGCTGTTGTTCCCTGCTTCAGGCTGTCGTGTTCCACTGTGCAGGAAAAGCTGAATTCCTGTCGTGTGTCAGTGGCAGGCCGTTTCATGGCAGTTAGAAAACATTAACAGTTTGTCTCCTAATCCTTTTGAGGAAATTGATTGCCATGACCTACTTTCTTTGTGTGGAAAAAGCCAGAGGTCACCAAGAAATGACAGAGGGGACAGCTCTTTTGTGAGCATTTGTCATTCCTAAGAACTCGCCAATTCACTCTGCTGCTACCATTCTTAAGTACAACTGTGTTGTTGACTCTTTTTCAGAGGAACCTTTTTTAGAATATACACGTATTGCAAGAATTCAGTTTAACTGAGATGCATGCTCTTTGTAGAAGTTGGTGCTTCACCTACAAACTCTAACCCTAATTCATCATTTTCCTGACATCAGAAACAGCCCTTTTAGGCCTTCAATAAGCTATTCAAAAAATGGAAATAGAAAATAAGCGAAGTCCGCAGAGAGAAATCCGTGCGCTGCCCTTTCCCTTGTAAAAGTCAGATAAATCTAACAATTTTCCATTTAACATAACAAAATCAATGTAACACATAGTGGGATGCGACACACAGGCACTAACTCAATTACCACCATAAACACAGCCACAAATTAAACCAAATCAGATTTTACGTCGCCAATGGCTTTAAAAAGTCGAGCAAATAAAACAAGTACAAAACAAGTCTCCTTAAGGTCATGAATGACAGAACATTTGGGTAGGTGCAAATGCTCTAATCCACTTACAAAGGAAAGTCAGTATTGGTTAAAGATACTGTAGACGGCACGGTAGTGGGTTCCTAGTTTCTTTTTTTGTCCCTAGGAGTGAATGTGAGTGTGTGTGGTTGTTTGTCTCTGTGTCACCCCCTCCCACAGACTGGCAACCTGGCCAAGGTGCACCCCGCCTCCCGGCCATTGTTAGCTGGGATAGGCTCCAGTTCAAATAATACTACGTGTGAGCCATTGATTACATTTGTTGATTTATAATTATAGTAATTTACTGGCTCTGAGATAATAACTTGAACACCAGATTGTTGCTGCAGCGCAAAGCTATCCCCAGTCACAATGTTAGTTCAATGTAGAGGTATTTACAAATGGTTAAGGGGAGTCGACCAAAATATTCGCACAGCGTTATTGATATATTTTTCATTTGGACCTAACCTGATGAGAAGCATGTAGCCTGGGGTCCCCCCAAGAGAGATGATAAAGGAAGTGATGACAGAGAGAGCCAGGAAGTATCGGAACATCTGGTCGCAGTCGTCCTTATCGGGGCACTGACCCATACTGGCCGTAAAGTTACCGGCCGCGCCGACACAGCTGCAATTTGAGAAGACCTGGGGAGAGATGCACAGACAGAACCATATGGAGCAGGGCATGGATGCTCACACACACACATCACAAGCTAACTAGGAGTCTACGCGAGTTGTGGTCGTTTAGGTTTTGCTGGGTATTTATTTTTACGCAACTTACTGTGTTTTTCCCTGAGCCCATGGAGGTCGTGCAGCCAGCGAGACACGGAGAAACATACGTGATGCCGTTCTCCGCACAGACCGGGTCCCACTCAGCGGACGAGCAAAAGCAGTCTGAGTTGCAGCCTGTGAACACTGAGTGTGTGTCATAAGATATCTCATCTATGCTGGAGGAAAGAGAGCAAAAACAGAGGTGCAACTTAATATCTTTCACAAAATTATCTAAAGGTATATATTTAATCATATAGTTTTCCTTTAATTTAAAAATAGGACTGAATCCTTAACACCCAATAAATGAATAAATATTGTAGATAAGCATTTTGTATTACCTTATAAGTATTTTAGTGGAAAGCAAAAATATTCTGTTCCTTCAAAGATAAGTTACGTCTAAAGCTGATGTGGAAACTTGTAAGGAAAGCAGCTTATATGTATTTCAAATGCTTATGTATAATGCTAAGCGGCTATCTGCATGCATGTGTGCAGAGTGGGTGATTTTCAGTGCGTTTGTGGAGCTTTTTGACTCAAGGCACATGTGAAATTAAAGCTGAGAGCAGAAAGAGGGAACCTTACTGATGCAGCTAAACCTGACTAACCCAACCTTTATAACACAGAGGGAGGGAGCAGATGGATTACCAAACATGATGGCACAAAGAAACCGTATTATTTCTAACTCCCAATTACTATCATCATTAGCTGGCTTCAGTCACCACCCCTTTGAAAAAATAATAAAATCAGTACGCTGCTGACTACCTCTCTCTCATTTATCAAAATCTCTAAAGAATTTATGAGGTATTAGAAATTCAATATTTTATTTACCACATGTGGTGTTGTGCTTTAAACTGTGAGCACCAGTTCTGCACACTCACTGTGAGCTAATTATCACACTGCACCCCCCCCCCTTTCATTTGTGCGACTGAGGAGCACCAGGCTCACACAGAGGCTTAATGTCTGTATTCTTACTGCCTGTCACATGTTGGCTGCTCACTGTGTTAAAGAAGGTGTTTTTTGGATGTAGCAGAATGTGAATCTAAACGGCCTCATTCGCAAGACGCAAAAACAAGGTTATTCGTGGCTCACCTGTTGTACGACAGCGTCACGCCAGCTACCTTTGCGTTCTCACAGCTCATGACGAAGAAGAACAGTGAGAGTATGTAGCCAATCAGAGAAGTGGTGAAGGCAAACTTGGCAGCTCCCATGATATTCATTTTAAGCCTCTGCATTAGCACACCGCCGGAAAACATACCCAGTGCCACAGCGGGGATATTGATCATACCTCAGGTTAGAAAAAACAGTAAAAAACATTTTTAGCACATTATTGACTGTATACATTGGAATTTAGACTTTGAAATTAAGAGGGTGAAATAACTACTGAGCAACTTTTACAGAGAAAGAAAGTCTCAATAAAGAAAATATTGCCCAGCTTTTTTTAAATTCATATTTTCTTTTTTAATCTCATACCTTCATTTAACATCAATGGGAAGACCCAGGCTTTGATCTATACTCATGTCTTTTACTCTGGCAACTAATATGGGAATCTCTTTCATATGCAGCCAGTCTCGTCAGTGCAGCCATCTCTCTTAATGAGTCCACACGAACCTAGATGTTTTCATTTAATGCTGTGAACTTCATTAGAAATTTTATTTCATGATTAGAGTAGTTCTTATACTCTCAAAGCTTCGGTCTCTGAGGCTGACGCAGTTAGTGGGCTGAATGCACAAATATTCCGTCAACCACTTCTTTAACAGTAGTGTCGATAACACAGAGCTTTTTGCTCCAACCCAAAAGGAGCCGGGTCGAAAAGCTTTCGCCGGTTCTGTTTCCAGCATGTAAAACATTACTATTTCATAAGATACCAAGTAATATTCATGAGAGATGTACCGTACCCATCAGGAAGTTGGCCTTTGACGCGGACTGCCTGAAATGCTGCTCGATGTACTTGGGTTTGTAAGTGACCATGCCGATGAGAGAGTTGAGCTGGATGACCGTCACACATAGGTAGATCAGATACACAGGATGCGCCAGCAGAGTTCGCAGGGTTGGAATGAAGTCTGTGGAGGGATTTAAAAACAAAAATGTGAAAATGAGATAAAATCACTATATACCTATTCAGTATTTATGGAGTCGATTCAGACGTGTAAGTTCTGTCGGCACAAATGCACCTCCTCTACACCAGAGATGTCCCTCAACTCTTTAGTTAAGAGCATTCAGCATGCATGAATTCAATATTTGTTTAGTCTGACCACATAACAATTTTTCCACTTTGGCTCAGTTGGATCTTTACCTTACATCAGTGGAAAGCAGGGGAATAGCATTCACCATGATTTCTGCAAATATTGCTAAATCCATACAGGGATTTCCAGAGTAAAATCACATTCCTTTTGAGATTTTACAATCCCACTAATAAGAACATTATTTTCAAATCCCACCACAATTTGTAGGCAGTGTTCGGTTAGATTGTTTTCTTATTTTGGTTTCTTTAAGGTTCTACTTTTAAATCCTGTTACAGACCTGTTGCTTGTCAGGAAGTCAGTTGCAACATCTCTGTTATATGTATGATAAAGTAAAAACATTTTTTAAAGTATATGATTGAAAATGTTACATAATAAGATGAGAGTACCTATAGAAACATCAAAATAGAAAATTTTAAAAATTCATCTTCGCAAACATTGGTTCAGATGGAGAACAGAAACAGAAAAGCATTCTGAAAGGACCATGATGATGATGATGATGCTTATCCATGCTTACTCTTTGTCATCTCTAGAAAGCTCGTGTCTTCATCTGCTGGGTACTTGTGCTTCTGATGGGGAGAGTCTTTAATGAAATTTGTCTGCTCCTGAGTGCATTTCTTTGGAACCCTGTTCCTGGATGTAGGTATGGAGCGGGGTAGAAACCAGAAGGGGATAGCGGAGAGCAGGGTGATGACTCCAGCTATGAGGTAGCCCAGCCACCAGGCCCCCACCCAGCGGGCGTCTGATGGCGTAATAGTGATGGTCTCTGTGTCAGAGGCATAAGAAGGGAAGGATAAGTTAGGTAAATATTCAATGGCCAAAGCTCATCTTTTCTATCAGGTGAGCTATCGATTTTTGCATTTGTGTGAGGATTAAAACAGAAATCTTTTGTTCAAGCTGTAGCTATTTGTTTACGTTTTAATGATAAGGGCTTTTGAACTGAGCCTCCTCATTCATTCTTTCGAGTTCTTCTTTAGGCTGAGCACCAAAGTGAAATTCAATGTTGAGAAAAGTAATCGCCGTGTATTGCTTCTCGCTTTCTCTTGATTTTTTTTGTGTTGATGTTTAGCTTCATCTTCACATCTAAGTGTAACTCTCTCTCTCCCCATTGCACTCTGTTTGATTGTTGCCTGTCAGCAGGCTCTACCCCCTCCTGTCCCTCAGCGGGCCTCCTTTATTAAGCTAATAGATGTAATCCTGTACACCTGCTCTGCGTGTTGAATTGTGCACACACTGACTGTCATCCACGCTCTGCTGGATCTGATAACGTTGCGCCTCAGTTTTATGAATGAGCAGGTGCCATTTTAACAGTAATAGCTGGAGAGGTGCAGGTGTTAGCAAAGACACTGGCAATGGCTCTGATGTATCCATGAGTCCAAGCAGGCACAACAGCAGGGAGCAGGTGTATGCACAATGCATATGGATAAAGACAGTCGATATGTCATTTTCACTAATTGGTTTTTCCTAAGGGTCACTTGTTTTCCCCAGTTCACGGGAACATCAATAAACGGCCCTACAGTTACCAGCATCCACTAAAGACCGTTATCACACCAGATGCTGTAACTTGTTACGTGATTAGAAACACTGGTGTTTTGTGAATGATGTGTGCAATTACCCAGTAAACCTGTGTGTTCAAGTGGAAGACTTCCCCAGAGGGGTCCAGTCACATGGTCCTTTTTTAAGGTTCCAAACCAGGCAAAACGACAGTGTTATTTATGTAGCAGCTTTAACTAGAAGATGTTAAAATTCTTAAAACTTTCTGTAGAAGCTTTAGTGACCCATTTATCAACTCCTTCAACATATGAAACAACGGTTCACCCTTTTAATGAAAAAAAATTGATAATTATCTGTAGTATAATGATAATTATCTGTAGTATATCTTTCATGTCTACAATGTATTTTCTTCTACTCAGAATTAAAGACATGAATAATGAAGAGGTACAATTATGTCGTTACACTAGCCTCAGTAAAAAAACTGTAAAGTTGTAGTTTTAGTAGTTTCATACATATGTGCTTTTTACTAATGACCTCACAGTTTAAGCCATGAATAACAATATTTTAACTGACTAATGAAGAATACTGCCTTTAAACAACCCAGATCTGAGGTAGCCAGCGTGGTGTGAAACAGGATTTTTCAGGTTTGTGGATAGAACTTAGCTCCTTAAATATATTCGATTTTCAAATGGAGTGAGCTGTCATTGACATAGTGCAACCAATGTCAGTGGAAGGAACATTAACACAGAGCCAACAGGATAGAGGACACTGTGAAGGAACTATAGCATGACCGTGAAACTCAACTGAATTCAGTTGGATGTTGGTACAAACATCAATGACAGTTTTATTTGTTGCTTTCAGCAGGCAGTAGAGATGACATATTTCTCTCCTGAGAAAGACAATCCTCAAACAATTCAATTTCCGGCTATGTCATGTCAAAAGGTCTGCTGTGAAATACGTCTGTTCCCCAGCAACAATAGCACATAATGAAAATATGAAAAAAAGTTCCTCAGATCTGTATTTGCTTAATATGGTATACATTTAGTTAACATGCTTCTTACATAGTTAACAAAAATATGAATCACTTCAGATCGGGTGCTTATCTAGTTTTCCAGGTAAATGTATTATTCCTTTATTTCCTAGGAAGGAAATAATCCGATTCAATTTCCCACAGGGCATGTGACACAGTCAACGCTCATTAGGGTCATTCTACAAACAAAACTGTGATGCCTTTAAAGCTATATAGTAAAATTTCAATTGTACATTGACAAAGGCTAAACATGTCAGCTGAGTTCTCTCATCATGAATAAATAAAATGTGTTAAAACCTACCCATTTTTACAAATCCAATGTCCACATAGATTTTGGCACAAAGGGAACCTAAAAGGTATCCAAACACAGGCCCAACCACAGATATGGTCTGCACACATCCTACAGAACGAGAAACACACATAGAAACACACACTGCTTAGGGCTTTTTAAGAGCTTAGATGCGGTAGACCGGACCGAACACTGACATTTCATTTGAAATGACCGCTTTAAAACATATATATGTTTAGAACCTGTAGTCAAACCTCGATTTGTCTGAAAAAGTAGAGTAAGAATGTCTTTTTCAGTAATAAGCATAATCAGCTATTGTAGAATCCATAAGAGTTTTACTGCTTTGCTCATTCTTGGGAAAAGAACAATATTGTTGCACGTGGCCGACCTTTGTGCCACCACGGCATTATGTCTGAGCAGCCACACTATGCTCTAAAGAGGGCTGTGCAGCTCACTGCTGCAAGAAAGCTGAACTTTAGGATTTAAAACGGCGCTACTGTAGATTAAAACGTAAGAATTGTGATATTCACTGTCGCATTCAACGACTGAATACGTAAATACAAACTATTCAATCTTGAGGGCTCTATGTTTTTGGCCAATCTGAAGAAACGTTTTAAAAGGTGATCTTGTTTTTAAGGATTAATCGAAGACAGTACATCATACAAATTTTAAAAAGAGAAAATAAAAGGCGGAAACTCTCACAATGTATTAGGGCCAGCTGGATTTCCTTTTTATGCATCTCCACTACTTCAAAAAAGTGTTCTTACCCACATATAGTGCAGCATTCTCCTCAGTAGCAAAATCATCCAGGTAAGAGATTCCCAGTGGCTGAACAGGTGTCTCCCCAATGCCCCGCAACACATTTCCCAGGAGCACGTATATCCACATGGACAGATTAGAGTCTCCTTCACAACCTGGTGGGGGAAATGTGTGACATCTTTATGTCTGATAAGCGTTGTCATCCCCTTTCTGTTTTGTACTGGTCTCACCTGAAGATGTCCCTTGAGGGTGTTTCCCATCCTTTGTCAGGTCTTCGGGGGAACCCACCCGACACGGGGAGGGGTTGATGGATGAGTTCGTCACCCATCGAACTGATGTTTCAAATTCATAACTGCGAACGAAAGTACAAGCAGTGTGAATGCAAATCCGCTAAAATATTAGTGTATTGATGGTGTATTCCAGCCATATAACAGTAATAATTATTTAAATCTAAATGTTTTAATGCATTTAGACTCAGAGCTTAGTCATTACTTACCGTCCAATAATGAAATGAGGCAGCGCAATGAGGAAGGTGCCGATGGACATCAATACACAGCCCACTGCAATGATCTTTGGCCTGTGGAGTTTGGCTCCAAAGTAACTCACAAAGGCTATCACTAGCAAGTTGCCTGTTGGGATGGATATAATATTAAATATATAATTGATTTACAGTGTTCACAGAATCAAGCAAAAGGACCAAGAGGAGATGTTTGCCTTTTTACTCTTGTTCTCACTGTTTCTTTTCGTAGTTTGGTACAGCTGCACAATTTTCTGGAAAAACTAATGAGCCGGTTTTGATTAGACTCGGCAGTGAACAAGAAATATCATTCAACTGAATATCTGCCTTCCAAGAAATGCATTTCCCTACTGTCCACCCCTGCATTTTCCAACTGTACCTCAATTAAATATTCATTACATAATGTGGATAAATATAGTACAATAACACGACCAGTCTAAGATGACATGTACAGTAGGTGCATTAAATTTACAGAGGAACTGACTGACACAAAGATGTCTCATTTTCACACTCTGAGATGTTTATTAACTGTCAAACGTAGCAATTCAATTGGTGCTAGTGCATTATAATAATAGTCCACGACTTAGAATGTCACATGAACTTGGTGGGGTGTCATCACTTGCTTTAATAAAAGAAATGGAATGGATTATCTGAAAACTGTACACTTGCTATGAGTTGTGCCGTGCATTAAGCCTGCATGCACATGCAGCCATTTGCGTGGCTGCATGGATCTACAAATTTATCATTATAATTCTCTTCCCCCATCATTATTCCTCTTTTCTCTCGTCTTCTTGTTCTCCTCTTGTCTTTCTTACGTTTTCCTTTCTTTTCATGTTGCCCTGCTCTGCCTCTATGTTGCCCTGGCAACAGTCCTATGGAAAAAGCTTGTTGCCTAGGCCACACGAGAGAAGCTTTTCTCACAGGAGATGGAGTGATGGCGGTAAAGAGAATCGCTACATTCAGCTTTGACATTGAGTAGGGTGTCACCCTTTTTCTTCTCTGGCAGATACATTCATGGATGTGCACAAACAATTAAAAGTCACTATGGTAGTCCAAACTGATGTGTGACAACAGAAAAGGTTGAATAGCCAGATAACTCTACTCCTCGTGGCCCTTATTTCTATTGGTCATATCTGTATAATTCAACTCTCAACCAATAATTTGTATCCTTTTTCATTTTGCAACATATTAAGATATCGCTCTCTGGAGTCTTAAAACAGCCGAATTATCTCACAATATCTGTAAACAATAAATGACTTGTAAAATCCATTTGAGTTTCCTGGTGAAAGCAGTCTTTTCATAAATCTCCTCTAATGTTCAAATTGTTTGACTCTTGAAACCCAATTTCAAAATCACATTTCACACATTGCTTTCCTGAGTAGCATTTTCATCTTTTCAACTAGGGATATTAACATAAACAATTAGCAACGGTAAAAAGTTTTTTTTTTTTTCACTGAAATGAGTTTGCACAAAAAGAAAAATGGAACATGTCCGGAAGATAAAAGCAGACGTTGTTGCAAAAGTTCACATTCTGAGAGGAAGCTGTGAAAGCAGAGTCCTGTTGCTCACAAGTCAGCTGATAGTCACAAATTATATTACTGGGGGATAATGGACATTACATTAATATTCTTGAGAAGCTATGTTGTAAAACGACTCAGAAATTCTATGGTCTGGCTGTCTAGAACCGTAAAAAGCTCTAGGCTTGTATATTATGTCCTTGCTCAACACTGTGACTCACCACACACTGACTAACGCACACAAACACAATCCTCTGTCCTCTTCTTGGAACCCTGATTAATCCTTTATCTGAAGCTTGAATATCTCAATGATCCATTCATATTTTCGGCCCAGAGACGGCTAGAGAGAAGGGAGGCGAGCCTACGACACAGAGGCAGCAAATGGAACTGCAAAATAACAACTAGTGATTGGCAGACTCACTCACCTATTTCGAAGCTCCCATCAATAACACCTATTAGGTAACTGGGGATGTCAAAGCGTCTCTCCAACTGAGTTATTGTGCTCTTCATGTAGCTCCCCGACAGAGCCTTTGCAAAATAAGCAAAGGACAACGCTACCAGGAACATCTTGGGAAAAGATGAGAGGATAAAATGTAAGAGAAAGAAAAAAGATTAATATTTCTTATTGATACACAGAGGCCAAACACTGAGCAACTGTATTAAGCTCATTTTAATAAACAGTTACGTATTTTATTGAGCGACAAACTGGAATATGAATTCCACTGTCTGGTCTAGCTAATTAGCACAGTAATTAACACTTCTCTACTCCTTGTTTAAGCATTATCATCCCTCTATTATAATAAGCAGTTATTATCTTAAAAGATTCAGCATCATATGGTCTCCAAACAAACAACAATGAAAAATAATTAGTATCCGCCAACCTGTTTTCTCAAAAGTAATGTTGCGTAACCTTTTTTCAACTATTTTCACAGGCAAACAACGCAATAAGTGGAGTTTTTATTTTCATGAAACCTTGCACCTGTTTTTTCCATAAACATTAATTTGCTCTTCACAGGAGCTGCTTCAAGGATACACCACATTCTCACTTAGAAAACGTCCAATGCTAGACTTTGTGGTGAGAGCACAGGAGACTTTTTCCTTTGGTGACTCATCAATAAAGGTCATTCTTGTGCAAGCGTGACTGCATGGTTGAACACTGAAAAGCTGCTACAGTCTGCAGCATCTTTCTGAAGCTCCTTTGCTGTAAAATAGGGGTTGAAATTCTCTTCCGAATGAGGAAATAGGGAGCCGGTTCTGAAAGGTTTCTTCGTCTTGAAGACTTCGGCTACAACTAACCAGCTGAAAACATTATAATCTTGTCCTGCTTTGTGAACTTTATTAAAGCTTTGACATTTGTATCACCTGGCCTTTTCCTAACAATGTGTGTAAATGAGACAGTCCAAGCAAGCTATTCAATTATGATCTGAGCCGTTTGTAAAGGTTATCTATCCGAAATCACACAGGGGGCCTAAACCTTTGCATCATTCTCCTTTAGTTTTCCACTTCAAAATTGTTCAAAACAAAAAGAATACACTTATTTGTCATGTGCTGTGTTGTTTTACGTAAAACGATTAAATCATTTTTCTGGTTCATTACAAAGGCTGTTCTTAGAAACAGCACATATATGTATGGTACTTTATTACCACTAATAAGTAATTAACAATCCAACAAGTGTCAGCATCTGAGGAAAAACCCGATTTCAGATTAATGAATAGCATCAAATTAGGAGGAGAATAAGAATAAGTCAGAGTGCAAGTCAAATGTCAATGCTGAAAGATTAAGAGTTGGCAACCAAATATTTGTGCTGGGATGGGACTAAATCCAAATAACATGCAACAGGGATTAAAAAGCCTATTCAGTCTGAATCAATGTAATCATCCAGACAGTTTTAAATGCCAAGCAAACCACACCATGGGAAAGGCAACTCACAAAGAATATGGGAATGGTGGCCAAAACTGGAAGCACCCAAACCAAAAGTAAAAAGAAAGAAAAAACTGAGTAAAAATCATCTCCCACAAGTCCCACTCTAGTAACGACAGCAAACTAATAGAAATATTATGCGATGGCAGACAACAAAAACAAATTCCACTTCATTAGCATCAGAGAAAACCAAGAACTGAGATTTTTTGTAAAACAAATCAAAACACAAATGATCAAAAAATATTAATTGGATTTTGTTCCCTGTGATACTTCAATACACAAAGTCATTTCTGTCATTGAGATATTTTTTACTAAATGAGTGTTTCTAGTCAGTAGGTTCTGAAAAAAGAGTTTTGTAACATTTAATAAACTACTCATGTTGTTGTAGCTGGTAGTGTTTAAGTGTTTTGTGTACTTGTCTCTGTACTCCTAATTTACGCTACCTCTGAAACATTACTATGTTTAATATTTTAAAAGGCAGCTTTAATTCATTTTACACAAAGTTAAACAGCTACTGGCCTTGTTGGCCATTTGACATCAGAGTGTGTTTTGTATCCTCTTTAATTTTTCACTAACCAACCATTTCTCTTTTAATGTGCTTTGATATGTGAAGTCAAACACTGCAGTAATGTGGAAATCATGTTAGAATTTATTAGCTAACTCAGGTAAATCAGAGGCTCATCGTCTCAGCTTTCCACTGGGTCTTCTCACAGTCCACACTAATGTCTCTCTCCCTCATTTAAAGAATGTAGCTCCTGATCCAGATCCTTCTTTTGATTTATAACTAAGTACCAAAATGCTAACAACTGTGCAGTAACATGCTGTTACAGGTGGGATTTAAAAAGTTTTAATAAAAAATCCATCTGTAAAAGATGACTGCGAATGCTGATCTGTAGTCGGAAATGTTCACAAACGTTCACAAACATGAACATGAAACACTAGGAAGGACATAAAATAGACGAGCACTGAGCTTATGTCCTTCTCTGCTGGCTGGTGCCTCTCATCCAGCACCAAGCAAAGAGTTGGTGCTATTGTAGCAATTGCTTCTCTACGCTGGATCCAAAAGTTTTGGGAGTCAAAACAAAAAGAACTGGATCTAAGCTAGGCTCCGGCTTTAAACCCGCTCTTTTATGATGTCAGAGACCTAAGGGGTTATTGCAAAAAGGAAGTGACCCAGATACAGTATCAGACAACAGAGACAAGCCCAAAGCTTGTTCACAGTTTTAAGATATATAAATATAAAACTTGGACGAAGAATTCAAAGAATGGCAAATTTCTAATCAAGGCCATTAGGGATATCATAAACATTGTTATCACCATGTCTACAACAGCTTTGTCTCAGTATTTTTCTGTAGAACTATCTACAATAATTATTTAGATGCACTTCCATGTAACAATGAACAAACGAGAACCATATAAGCGCTAGTATAAAAAGTAATCGATTTTCTTACACCTTATAAAAGCAGAGTGAAGTAACTACAAGACTGTTCCAACCTTCTGACTCCACTGAACATATTCATCATATTGTTGCCTCCTTTTTTGCCAGTTTGCCTTGTAAAAGGCGAAATAATAGAAGCAGCTGCAACCCCTTCAGTTTAGACAAAACAAGAATCCCACATTTGCATCAATATTTAGACTGTCTATAATTTCCTATCTTGAGTTGTAAAGAAGAAATAGTTTGTAGCCTTGATCACTATTCCTGTAGTGTATTCGACCCCCTCATAGCAGAGCACATGAGAGTCATGTTAACCACATGATACGACAGACATGCCTTCATCATAGTTACAACAATGTCTGGGATGTACCTACAGAGATCATATGATAGAATCCTCATTGACGACAGCGTTTATCCCTTCGACCATGTAATGGTATCTGAATTGGAAGCAGCTGACTATACTATTAGTTCCGGTGAAACCACATTAGTTAAGTCGGAGAGGGGAGAATTAAGTCAGGGTGGAAGTCTTTTTTTAGTATATATAACAGCACATGCAACATTATCAGTAGTTTGTGAAATAGTAACAACTTGGATTATTTACTCAAACGGAATGCTTATTTACACAAGCAAGTAGGAAATGTCCATTAATGCAAATACGCCTGTGATGAGATCATGCTGGCCACCAGCATTAGATTTGGGGCACTCGCACCAGTAACTCATCACATGTGCATTTCCTTAAGGGATTCAATTGCAAAGAAGTATGCACAGCCATTTGTTTCACTGCTATTTGAGGGAAAACCTCTTTTTATCTGAGCAAATCTAAATGTTTTCATCAGTTATTTGCGCAAACTAATTAAGGAAAGATCAAGGATAATATCTGTGGAATGGAAAATGGGAGGGGTTTTGTTTACCTATAAACAACCCAGCATATTTTACTCAACAGAAACCCTTCTTTTAACTTCAGCGGCCCCACTATAGTCAGCACAATATACATTGAATAGCTCGAGTCTTTAGCAAATGCAAGCTGTCAGTTCAGTTATTGCTCAAAATCACTGCGTTTCTACCAGAGTGATGGATGGAGTCCCCTCAGAGATGTGTATTTGTTAAAATCATTTGCAGACACTGTTTCACCTCTGTATTCTGTAGCTTGCTCAGCCGAACGGGTTTACTCATCCAAACTAATACGCCAACATGGGGAAAAAAATACTTTTAGAGGAGGCAAGAATAAGAATGTCACTCTGGCTATTCGGACTGGTACTTGCTCCTCTGGTCTCGAGATAATTCATCAAATGAAACATTCATGAACAATGACCAATTAAGTAAAAAATACTTCATCTGAAATTATTCTCAGAAATCAAGAGCTACAATCAAAATGTAGATATACATCAAACCTGTGTTTTATCAACAAATGCATATATATAGTAATATTCCAATGCATTATGAGTTTTTGCATCACTCGTTTCACATGTTTCTTCATGGTTCTTTTATACAAATTAAATTTGTAGCCTCTCATGGACTTTTAGATGAAGCTTGCCTACTATGGTGGTTAATTAAATGGAGAAAGTGCTGCATATAATAAAGAGCGCTTATAAACACACAAGTAACCCATCGTAAGAGTGTTTGTGTATTTGAGACAAAGATAGAAAATGAGAATGAAAACGTTTAAATATTGCCAGAAGTGCTGTGAAAAATGTACTAATGTGTACTTAGTCCTTTGTCAAGCTGGAAAAGTCTGCAGATATCTCCTCAGCTTCGAGCAAGACTATGTTTAAACTACAAAATCCAAATAACCCTTGAAATAAAGACTTGGTTTAGTAAATAACTGTGATAATATCATGCACATAAAGTAAAATGGAGCCCTAATCTCCATTTACTTGGGCCATTTACTCAATATTTTTGGGAGAATAATAACCTTGTTTACAGATGACATTTCTACATATTCAGAATGAAGAAGAAGTCATTCATAATTGTGATATATATCACATGACCACTAAAAGTAGAACAAGAAATACTAAGAAATCGTGGCACCAAAGTTCTGCTCGTATCACTGGAATTGACAAAAAGCTGGGAAAAACTTTAAGCCGCAGATTAGAGTCCAAGCGGATCTTGCCATATCCCACCCAGCCGCTCAGGGAACCAAACAATCCTGCGAGGAAATAAGTCTGTGTTTCCACTGCCGTCTCTGTTATGATAAGCTGTTTGAACCCCATTGTCTCACATCACTTTCATGTGGAAAAAAGTAACAAGAATGACTGATCTTATTGTGGGCTTTACTAACATTTTTTTTAAGTATTTCTACTCATTTATTTTTCTAAAAGGTTTGTTTGAGTCACGGATAAGAAAGAACAAAGAAAGAAAGCCTCAGTTAGTCCATTTTTTGGTACTTTGAGATTAAGATCGTGCTCCACATTCTTTTCCTCATTTCGTTTTTTTTTTTCAGATTGAAATATTTTATAGTATTTAGTACATATTCATCATTCCGCTATAGATCGAGATGTTTCATCAGCTTTTTCCAACTGGGAGCAATTTAAAACACCAAAGTCAAGTGAAAATGCTTGTTCTCACTCAGAGCACTGCACCCTGAGCTTCAAGAGTGGGTGCAGCTTACTTTTTCTTTCTAATATTGGAGTCTTGATATTGAAATCAACGCTTGCACAGAGAGAAAAAACATTGATTTTACATGACAACCAAACAGCTAACTTACAACAGTTAGAAAGTCAAAAACTGTAAACAGCCTGGCAGTAATGGTGTTTTCACTCTGTAGTCAACAGAGCACTAGTTACTAGAAAAAGCACATCTGAACCCGATAAGATGCAATAATAAATGATGGCCAGACGGAGATCTGAACAACCCTTTTGGGGTTTTTCAGTGGAGCACTGCCCGGAGTATAAGAGTGTCTCTCGTATTCTGCCTTTCTTCCAAAATGCATCAAATTGCCATCTTTCCCCAGGTACACAACAACTAATTAGCCAAATATGTGAGAGAAAATAATCTTCACCGAGCCAAGTCACCTCCGCCCATGGAACAATGACATTGTTACATTTTAAATACTGACATTTATGCTTTCAGGACATTGGTGTTATAATGGTTTTTCGTGGGCTATCTTAACTGCTTTTAGAGTACACTTCCGTATATGTTAAACTGCAAATGTTCTCTTCTTTAACTGCAGCAGTCTGTGGTGTAGAGGAAACCCTGACCATATGAGGTCAAAATGGCTGAGTCAAAGAAAGTTGACAAAGCCTGACTGATGAAGAATTGTTTTTCTCAACTTTGAATATGTGAGGAATACAAATAAAAAAACTGTAAAAGCTAGGAGGTGAAATAATTTAGCAGAGCTACTGAGTGAGTGCTTACAATTCTATATTTTGGGGTCTTACTGTACCTTCATATCAAAATAGACAGGTGACAAGTAAAAATGTTCCCTTGTCATCACCTTTGTGGAACGGTTTCCAAACTATTGCTGTGGTAATATTGTGTGTTTACCTAGTAAACACACACAAATGCTTGCGTATTAACAGAGTGTGAGTCTCCAACTAAACATACAAACACGCCAAACATCTGAGCTTGAGTTTGGTAATCCTAGCATTCATAAAGACATGACAGTTTGAGTACCCTCAGACAGGGGGAGGTGCGAGGTGCGTTGTCTGTTCCGTCACTGTGTCCATTTTCCTGTGCGCGCTCTTCCTCAGCACTGTCCTCCATCCTCCAGATATGTCTTCACGTCTCCTTAGCAGAAGTCTCTCACTGAATGTAATTTCTTGGCACTGAGGCATGCAACCCTGCAAATGGATAATTCAAGCATGTGACCCACTTCTCATTCTCGACACAGAAAAAAAAGAAAAGAAAGAAAGAGAGATATCCACAGCAGCCGACACAAGGAAGACCAACGCACAAACTGAAACATGCCAGTTCGTATTTTGGTCCAGAGATCTTAAGACTCCAATCACAAGTAAAAAGTTAACATTTTATTGACAGAGATGGCATGTGCATGTTATCAGAAAAAGAGAAAAAAAAGTTTCAACTTAACTATTTCAAGCAAATGTACAAAAAAAAATTAAAGTCGAACATTCCAACTTATCAGACCACATACCTTCTTGTATTGTTCAAGCGGTTACTGAGATCATGAGACCAAATATCATGAAGCTTAAACTGGGGCTATGAAGTCCAGTAAATACAAAATCTTAATCCTAAAAGCCTAAGTGCACTGAAACCAAATATAAACAACGTCAGAGGGGATTTAACTTGCTATGAGATTGATAAGGAGAACATGTTTTGTTTCCCTCAACCATATTCAATTATTTGCACAGTGAAAATCAGTCTGGTTTGGAAAAATTTAAATGACAATTAATAATAAACAGCATGTGTCACTTACAGCTGCCAACTCTCTGAACAGCCACCCACATGTGAGATGATAAGGGAAACATGTTTTGTCTTCATTTTCCAGTTTACACTTTACTTTTTTTAATAATCCATGAGAATGCTGCAGAGATACTATATATTAAATAAACCAGCACCAACATGATGCGACGTATTTGCATCAGCATTGCCTTGCGCAGAACTTTTGAAGCCTTCCCTACTTTTCTTCATCTATTTTTGGCTGCACTGCTTTGGCTGCATTTACCCTTTGGAGGCATGATGCATATAATCAACAGGAATGAATTTGGAGGAATAAGCAGTGACAGCATCATTTGGATTTGCATTTTTTTGTGTCTTTTTAAGTCAATCACTTAATATTAACATTTTTTAACAAGCATAGTGTGACCCATTTTGGGTCTGTCAATCTGTTTGAACGCATATTTGCATCAGGGAATTCCTTAAAAATAACACAAGCTGTGTCTGAAAGCCCAGCCAAAGCATAACAGTGTGAATCTCAATGGTGGTATAGTACCAACACGCGGACAACAATCTTGTCATTAAAAAATAGATATATTTTGACAATCCATGAGGATATAACCTTAGAGGAGTGTATACAAATGTCTAAAACTGATCGGTGGAGGCAAGTGAAAATGTTTCTACGATAAATATGCTATCCTTCAATCACATTAATATGAGTGTGGTAAAAATTAAGTTGACCGTAAATTGGTTTTTTTTTCACCAGTTGTTTCGTGTTTCCCCTGGTAGGGCCTCCCATGGAAGATTTGTCAGGTGGTTAGGGACTAAGAGTGATTGAAAGACCTTGATGACCTCAACCAGCAAAAGGGAAACTGGGTTACCCTCTTGGAAATAGGCCTAGGGTTTGGGCCAGTGAATGCCTGGTAGTTAAGCCTGAACAAGACTTAGAAAAGCCACTCCTACGTGGACCCACTCCTCACGTTTGAAAATTTGAGGTGCTTTATAAGATGGGCAACAGGTGAAGGTGGGACCCTTCAGGTCCCTACCTCACCATCAGTCAGACTAGGTGTGAGGGACCACACATTGCCCCGTCAAGATAACTTTGTATATGCCAAATTTTTCTTGGAAAATGGAGAATGCAAATTTCAGGCACCGTTTTGTGTGTATGCAACTTAAAATAAGTATAAATAAGTATAAATGAGGCCCCGGACCTTTACACTTAAAGGGAATAGAGATGGGAGGGTTCTGGGGAATCTAACCATCCAGTCTAAATGGTTTTACCACTGGGAGGTTTTCTTACAATACTCTATGAAGGGATTCTATATCCCTTCTGGCCAGAGGAAGACTTTGGAGCTGAAGAATCTTTTTCCCTGAATCGGTTGCGATCATGATCCGACACTGAATCAGCTGAAGACAATTCAATTAATCTCATGACGATTATCTACTAAATTAATATGAAACCCAAGTGGGTTACAGTTTGGAAAATGTTGTACATTAGTAATGATCTTTTAAGTATAACTCATTTCAATATCTCAATTGAGCTAAGTCCCACCCTATCAGTTAAAAAGACTAAATGGGCTAAAAAAATTAAAATAAAAAAGACACATGCAGAGATGACTAGTTCATAATTTCCCATAAAAGTGGGTCAGCCTCATTTTGAAAGTTCAGGTTAAATCCAATTCAATATTCCAACTCTGCGACCTGCTGACATAAAGTGGTGTCGGCATTGTACCTAACTCCATGCAGTTCGAAAACCAGGAGTCATGGTCATTTTCTACAAACAAATAAAAGTGTTGCATTAAAGTTACAGCCCACTGAGTGTGAGGTCAGCTGTATCGTGCCATGCAAAGCTTGTGCTAGGGAAAACATTTGAACCACATGTTATGAGACAGCACATGCAGCTATTGTGCGATTCATTTTAAGATCAAAGATTGGTCTGAGCACAACTGAAGTCTGACAAAATACAGCATGAGAACACGCAGGATAAAAAGGGTACTTTGAAAGGACACCGACAACACGCCAATTGTTTTCTCCCAGTCTATATCAAACGAAAAAGACAGAAATAAATGTTCTATCACTTTCTAACATCTCCCTTTCAACTTTTTTCATGACCTCTTTTTTTTTAATGAACTGTTCTTTTGTGAGTCCTCACAGATGTCTTGCAAACTTAGCACATTCCCCTTCTCTCCTTCCTCAAGCCCTATTCAGCAATCATGTGAAACAGTTACTTCAGGGGAGCAAGCTGGTGACTGCTATGCCGACACGACTGCTAACCTAAAAGCTTCACTGACTGTTAGTGAAGCTGACGCTATTACGACATGAAACATTCACATTTCTCCCTGAACATTTTGTATCTGTCTCAATAACTGCAGCTAGTTGTTGTTATTGCACTCGGTCTCATTCCTTTGAATTGGACCGACTGCAGGTTTAAGTAAACACATAACTGGTAGCGTTTCACTTTAGTTCTGAGGTTGTCTTTGACCATTTTGTTCTCAGAAACACTTTTCTGTAGTCAATACTGTATCAGTAGGTATGGGATATGGATAATTCAGGTTAGGGTGACTTGTTTTGTGCTTAATATTGATGATAAAATATGTTTGATACAATATTTAACTTTAGTGTTTTAGATGAGGATAAACCAGGCACATAGATCAATTTCCAAGCTTAATTTTTTTACTTATTTTTAGATGTTAACCACATTTTCTATTTTCCCATTTTTGCTAAGTTAACACAGACCAAATGGCATTTATATTCTCCTCTTATATTTTGTTCTCTACGTCTCCCGACAGTATATTTTCATAAATTTTCATTCTGAGTACACAAGAGGCTGATAATCAATTTCCAGTGAATCCTTATGAAACTGCTAAAGGGCAGCACCAGATAAAAAAAAGCTGTGGTCATATTCTCATGATGTCTGTGCTACCCACTGAATTGATCAGCGATTACTATTTCACAAATTGGATTTGATGAACAATGGCAGATCTATGAAAAGTGGCACGATATAATGCGTATCTTTTGTTGTGGACATAACAACAGCTTTTTGATGCCAGAAAATGCATCAACTGGGCTAACCAAGACAGCACACAGACACCAAACCAGGGCTGGGTGGCGTGTGAAATTTTCAATAAGCATTTGTAGTTTGTCTAATGAAAATGTCAAATTACAAAGCAGTGTTGATAACCTGACAACGTCTGACATTAAGTCTGTGGTCCTCTCTCCTCACTCACCGGTAGCCTCATCCTTGCCTTTTTTCTTCTGCACGTCTAAAACAGGACGAGCCTCACAATGCTAAGAAACATACTCGTTACTGTAGTCGACGAGGCCAAAAGAGTGTATGAGCCCACAGACACTTGCTTTTCTTTAGCTGGGGCTGCCCTGCGGAACGGGACTCGCATCAACTACACAGACTCAGCCAAACTCGACTCACCGTGTTGTCGAGAAAGAGAAACACAGGACACCACTGTTTTTATGGAATTCACTCTAATCAACAAAACTGTAAGAGAATAGTGTGATGAGAGAAAAGAAAGCAGACGTTAACTGTTGACAGCGCTCGACAGGATAGTAAATGTGCAGCGGTCTTAAATGTACGTCATATACCTTCAGTCTACCTGAAAACAGACATTAGTGACTAAAGTTAAGGTTTGCATAAAGTTTGACGTACTAGTTTCAGCCATAAGATGAGAGCAGCCTTCCACGTAATTTTTGCTTAAGTCTAAACATCTTTTCAATGAGTTCATTGTTTATATATATTTAGACAGAAAAGGTAAAAGCAAGAAGTAAAACAGCTGACCTTGAATATTCCTTTATTTACCCGTATTTTGACTGTATTCTGCATTCCATTTTAATCCCCTCTGCTGCTGTCAAAATGCAGGCACTAGTGAGGCTTTCACAATAGCCGAGACATCCCACAGAGAATGATGATGTTACTATACTGTAGCCAAAATAAAACCTTAATCATCCCATTATCTGTTGCTGCAGGAAGACCTCAAGCAGTGCTCCAGCAGCATGGTGTGGAAATAAAGGAATTATGAGGACTGGCAAATACAAGTGTGCGTGCAGATGCAGAGATGGAGGGAAGATTAAAATGAAAATAGATCTTTGTTTTCTCAGTGAATAACATGTTGGATCCAGCTTGGAGAGGAGACGCTCTTTGCAGTTTAAATAGCAGGATGATGCCGCTGAGCTCCTCTGCCTGGATAAGCTGCAGGTGCTCTGCAGAGGAAAGAAAAGCCTGCTTCTCTCTAAGCTGTTTTGATGTTTATTAACTTTTTTTTAAAATAATTTACATATTTTGCTTGTCTATTGTTTTAGGCCCATGTCTTAAGTGAGAAAAAAATCAAGTGAGAGAGTTGTTTTTAATTCAGTTTGTTTCTAATTCTTTTTTTTTTTTTTTTTAAACCTGAGAATGAGAATGTTCTTTATTAAATAGTCCTTTTGGCAGTCGTGCAATCAAAGAGTGAAAAATAAAAAGACTGTTTCCCTGTATATATCCAGCTCGGATTTCCATGCAAAGGGAATTTGATATTTGACGCGGACACTCACCTCGATGTCCTTTAAAACATGCCTCGAAGTGGCTGACCGTCGCCGGATTTAGTGACCAATCGGAAGCGCAGGTATTTTCCCCTCAGCCTGCTCCCGTCAAACTTCTCGTGTGGTCGGGAGCGAAGCAGAAGCACCGGGTCTTGTCTTGAATGCTCTGAGACCAAATAGTGTCGTCAGAGTTCATTTCCAGACGACGACACGGCAACTTAGTGGCAAAACTAGTCCAAATTAAGCCGGGTTATTTAATTTTATTTGTTTTTAAATGCTCGTAGCAGGCATGTCTTCGCCGCCAAGGGCTTGTTTTTTTTTCAAAACGCCGCCCGTGGATGAGGTGTGTCGGATGCACTTCCACGTGAGCCCTCCACTGCCTCCAGACGCCGGACTGACTCTGCTCGCGCGCAGGCTCTCGGACCAGTCCGCGTTCTGGGAGGCGCGTGCCTCAAACTGAACCTCTCTCTCTCTCTCTCTCTCTCCCTCTCCCTCTCTCTGTCTCTCTCCCCTTCGCCGTATGTTCGCGTGCGTCCGTGTCCCTGTCTCTCTTTGCTCGCACGTTAAATATTCCAGTCCTGCTAAACGTTTAGCAGTCTTCGCTGGTCAATAGCCACCTCCAGAACGTTCCCAAATGATGTCGATTCGAGGTATAATCATTAAAAAAAATATGTGTGTGATTTGAATTACTTCTCGTGATTTGTTTTGACAAAAATCTGATTCCCGAAGGATTTCCGACCAAATTCTCCGAGGACCTCGTACTGGAGCCACAGGCAGTCTTTATTTTATTATTTTTTTGTCTTTTCTTTTTTCTTTTTTTTTTGTATTATAACACAGTGTTCATTTTAATTAGGATCATTTAGACGTTTATTTGAATGTATGCTTTTGCCAAAAGGTCCTTAAAGGGGCAGTGACATATTTAACTAATTCACTGTCCTCTATTACGTCCCAAACTGTAATTATCATAAATTTTATGCCAGCGCCGACTCGTAAAACTTTCTGTTTACTGTTATATAACCTACTCTCTTCATAATGTTAGAGACGTGGCTCTCTGACTAGGTTGTGTCACTTGTTTGTCATTAAGATTTGATGCTTGTTTGTACATTTTTGCATTAATCTAATCTGTTACTTTAAAATCAGGATTTGTCAGGTTTACTTTCACTTTCTTATTGAATAGTAATTTAGGGAGTTATTGGAGTAAAACCCTCCCATAATCTATCATAAATGGATGCTTTTGTGACTGCACTGCTCCTTTCCCATGATGCCAGTCAGGCCAGCCATGATCATCTCCTTTTAAAAAGAGTGCTGCTGATCTTTGATAAACACCAAACTATTTAAGTTGCGTGTAGCGTTTGATGCCTTATTCTTATAGCAGTGACTCATGAATTAGAATTTCTCTCGTCTTTCAGTTGTTTTCTTATGTCCATCTGATTTCCAGGCTGCTTTTTCTGAAACTGTCTGACACAGTTTCTTGATGAATGTGCACCATTTGAATTCATTATCATCTACAGAATTCAAACAAGTGGACTCTGCGGTGATCATGAGACTTCAGCTCAAACTTGTGCCTTCATTTGAACCATTTTTTTAAATGAAATGTTCATGTTTGTCAGCATTTTCCGCCTGCGTCTGCTGGAGGGCAGATCAGAGTTGTACAAGCATTTCGAGAAGGTTAGTGGTAGCATATGTCTTGAAACACCTGTCCTGCCACGCTGATTGCATTAGCACTCACACAACCGTCAGATGGTGCACATTACCAAATGGGATACAGACACACGGTCATGACTGTTTTTTTTCTAAATGTCTCATTCAAATGTTCTCAGAAACAGCTGATTTTGGGCCACAGTTTGGCTGTTGCAATTCAGCACTCCTAAATCGGAATTTTCTGGAAAGTACTTTCCTCTTCTAGGTCAGATGTGACTATTTGTTTCTTACTAACCAATTAGATTAATTTCTCTTGGTTTGCGCAGATAATTCTGGTAGATTAGAATTTCCCTGAAATGCAGCCTCAGTTTGTGGCATTTGCTGTGTGACCTACATATGAGTGCTGGTAATGAGTTTATAATAAATTGTGACATCAAACACTGACTGTGATTTATGGAGCTGCTAATAAAAGCTTGTCACCTTTTTTTTAAGCTTTGTCTTATACATTGAACCGTATTTATCAAGAACAGAGTACAGGGAAAAATTAAACAAATCGGACTATTGTTCATCCTTGACAGAAGCGGTTGTCAGTACATGAACAATGTCAGGAGAAATCAGCGTCTTTCATGTTTTCAATTAAAAAACATGGAAAACAGTTTATTCAATGTTTTAGCTACACTGTCAAAATACTCTAGCTTCACTTTGTTTAAAAAATGCAACTTGTAAACTGTGTCACTGATTAAACAGCCTAATTGGATTACAGTGATCTGAAATTGAGTAAAAAAATGTTCATAGCCAAATTACTACTCATATAAATCTACATTTGTACAATGACTATCACTTTAAATTCAGATCACATCTGTTTTATGCTGAGGTGACGCACGCTCCACTAAACTGTGCACCCAACAAAGCGTGTGAGTGGAGAAGGGTTTTTTTTTTTAAAAAGCTCTCTTTTAACAACATAATCATTGGTATATGTATGTGTTATTGAGCATCATTCCGAAAGGATCAATGCAGTCTTGGCGGCTTGAAAAGCTGTTTCAATTCCACTAGAATTCTGTGATGTGCCTGTGGCTTTGATCTATATATTGACGTCATGTAATCAGATGCGGAATACAGAACATTTTTAATATTTCATGGCAACAGTAAAATTGTTTTCCCTCACACATCCATTCAACATCTTTATCTTAGACACATGCCTGGAAAAAGGGAGGTCTTGGTATTGATGATTTTAGGTTTAGGATCACTGTACTCGCTCTTATCTAAGGCTGCAGTGTGAGCAACATTTGTACCCCGTTGTCCTAATAAATGGAGGGAATTAATGTGTGAAGTAGCTTTTCATAGCTGCCAGGAAGATATACAGAATTTTTTCCTCACAGCTTTTCCAGGAGTTTAATTTGCATTGTTTCATCTTATTGTTCATTTCCACCCATCGGCGAAAACATGTGAAATCATTCTGTATGCAGAAGGGATCTCCAGGAAACGATCGACTGCCATGCTGCCGCTTCGGCATGTCATCTCTGTGGGTTTAGAAAAACTGAAATGATGCTCGAAGCCGCTTTAGATTAACCAAAAAGAATGGATTTTGAAATTCATATTAGAAAAACAACTTAAGGAGTTCTGCTTATTATCACATATGGTGGACCCCTGGCACTCTTAGAACCACAAGCCCTGCCATTTCTTTTGGTCTCACCAACTAGTGATTAGCAGTGCATCTTTTAGAAAATACAAATGAAAGTATTTTATTACAAAAAAGTATTCTTAACACCTAAAAGCGTTTACTCACCCTAGCATTTGACCGGGACAACTGACCAAGTGGGACATTTGTTGCCAAGCATGAGGCAGTAGGTGCAAATGCTGAAAGGCTTAACAGTGGGAATCTGTTGAAAACCCTTCAAATTTTGAGATTATTTCAGCCACAGGAGTGTAGAACCTTGGGAATATGCTTTGAATATGACTTTGTATGCTACTTTTGTTTATACATTTTTGCACTATCCTTAAACAACAGCATTAGTTCAAATCATGTCAAGATTTTCCCCCTAAAAAAAAAATCAAGCAATATAATCTTCTCAGACGATGATCATGTTCCCAAAAGGTGCCTGTTGTGTTTTCATCAGTCTCACCTGTATGAAAAGTAACCAGAGAGGTAAAGTTAAAGCAAAGAGAGTAGCTATTTTTCTTTTGTATTCCCCTGAATCCAATTCAACAATAAAAGAAAAAAAGTTTTCAATGCGGAGGATGGGGAAAAGTTATTGTTTTGAAATAATGAAATAAACGCAACAAAACCTGGCTTAAATCTCAGGCTTACAACCAAAAAGGACAATAGACCTAATCAGCTTATCCCAAAAAAGTGGCACAAACATTTAATGGCACCAACCAGTAACCCCATACCGTGTGGAAACAAAGAGCTCGTTTCTGAAGAGAGTATAAAGGGTCTTCACCCTACAACCCCAGACCATGTAACTTTTTTTAACATTCATCAAAAATGTTCTGGTGGACTGCATGCTGTATGTCACAGAAAGATTAACATCTTACCTTTTTGTTGCAGGTATGTTTAGCCTGAAGTCATCATCACAGTATTGACTTGTAGTCTGACTTGATAAACAGCATTTCATATTCAGAGTTATTAAATAATCTGTAATTATTTGGGTTTTTTTCATTTATTTTTTTTATGATATATCAGACAGACTGAAGGAACATTTCAAATATATCTTTCAGAGGCATTGAATCTTTGCTGATTATTATTTCCATATCATTTTCAGATATCTCCAGAACTAAATGCACTTCTTTCCTATTAAGTTAAATGTCAAACAGTTTTGTGAGGCTAGTCATAAACAGCAGGCAGATATTAGCATTGTCTATACCTTATTTGTGACTGTCCATTCATACAATCTGCTATTCTTATGCATAAGGTGTCGTAAAACATTAAAAGCTGTGTATACAGAAAGTTTAGGGCACTGTGTCAAATGTGAATAAAATAAGCTGCAAATACATTTCCTCATCTATAAATGAATACAATGGACTTAAGCAGAATGGAACAGTGTTCTGTAGTCAATCACAATCTGAAAATTCTTATGGAAACCCAGTGAAGCGAAAAGAGGAGACAGACCTCTTGATATTGGGTTAAAGATTAAATATTATCATAAAAGATGAATAGATATTTAAATTGCTAATCTTCTCTGTGATATTGTGGATAAAATATTGATTTATGGGTTTTGCAGATGATTGCATATAACACAGTGTCTCAGCCTTTGTGAAGCTCTAGTTTTATTATGTGTGGAAGAAGCATCAAATTAGTTAACAAGCCTGCAGTTTAATAAGTTAATAGCCTGTGTTAGCACAGGAAAGCCTGATACCCCTATCCCTCAGATATAAAGAAAGAGAACACCAGTATTCCACTTGTACTTGTTTTATTGGGGGCTCTTGAATATAGACCAGAATCGTACGTAAATCTAAGAACGTTGAGTAAACGCTGCAGAACTCCTTGGTTCTTCAAGATGTTAAATCTCTCCTCCAAAAGGCTTCTCCTTAAAGGGGGGTTCAATATGGCTTAGAAGGACTTTAAGAAGAACCCTTCTTCTTTTGGTTGAGATGTGAAACATGTTCAAGAAACCAATAAGTCCAGTACCTTTACTCAAACTTTTGGGTTAACCATGACTTAGGTGTGAATCTACACTAATATAAAATCTTAGGTAACCAGATCAGCTATAGGTCCTTACTGCTTAAGTGTGTTTTTTGTTCATGTTGCACCTAGGAAGAGAAGAGAGCAAAGAAAGTGAAAAGTAACAGAATGGAAACTGAAAGGAACAAAAGGAACAA